TTGTACAAGGAGATGACACAGAGATGACAAAGCTTCATCTTGTCATTTGAATGAAGAAGAAATTGGTAATGGAGGTGCAAATTGAAATAGAGGGAAGCATTCCGTTAAACAATCATCTAATGACTCAAGAATTAAAAACTTCTATAATATGGGAGAAAAAGAAAGAGAGGGTGATAAAGAAAGAGAGGGAGAGGAGAATATGCAAAGAGAAGAAGATTCAGAAATGTCTCAATCAGTGCATACAAAATACTGATAAGCAAGTTGTTACTAAGATTTCATTCTATACATATAATTATAAAATCGATAGAAGAAGTTATTATGTAACCTAATCATATAGTCGTTTTTTGTTTTCCAATATGCAATATATCAGAGAAATTCTCATAAATAGTTGAGTACTTTGAATTGAATACGAGAAGAAAAGGTGAAATCTGATTCGTAGTTCAGAGAAGAACCGATCTGTGCGTCGCTAAGGAATATGAAAGACTACGCCGCGTTTCACTTCATGAACTTCTAATCAGCATATCACGTGAAAGTCACGTAATTAATTATTTGAAAGTCATGCATTCAAAATTGAATTTCTTCTGAATTCACATGCCCTCAGGTAATTGACAAGCTTCATTTATTCCAAATAACCGATTCGAGTTTTAGAAAACGGTCATTGACTGGAGAAGTGGAAAAATAAAGTTTTTTTCCTTCATCATCCAAACATAATACTTAAAGCGTACATAATATGGGTTAAAGATTCTGAACCAACATGAATGAGATGTTTCCGTGGAAAGCTTCATTAACCAACTTATTGTCCCTTTAAAACCTTTTTATCATATCAAACTTCTTTGTGTGGTACAGTAATTTCATATTCTTTTACTCATGCTCAACATCATTCCCAGCTGCTCATGAAGCTTTTCGTACTCTTTCCTTCGGCTTTTGTTTTGCAATATCCACCCTCACTACATCAAAATGGCAGATACACTATCACTTGACAGAGACAAAAAAATGAAATTTGAGAGAGAGGAAGAGAGATATGGAGGAGAAAAGAAGCAGAGAGTATGAGAGATAAAAAAAATGAATGAATTGGATGGAAACAATAGAATTTCAAGTTCTGATTGCTTTCGAAGTCAAAATTGATAAAACAGATGGCAATGGTTTGTCAGCTGATAAGACCACCATGAAGTGTTGTTGGTCAAGAAGACATTCTCATCAGTACATTTGAATTCTTTTTGTTCTCTTTCTATCTAACCCTCTATCATTTTTATCACATTTTTTGAGAAAAGTTAAGAAGAAGCTCTCTCTCTCTGGTCATACACACACAATCTTCTCGCACATTTGTTTTTTTCTGTTTGTAAACAAATAATTTGCTTTTTTTCATTTGCGGTGATAGCAAGTGGAAACGCAAGTGATACTAAGAGATTTTCAAGACAATCAAAACTAGTACAACTATACACATCTCTCTCTCTCTCTCTCTCTCTCGCTCTTTCTCTCTTTTCTTTTTTCTATTCTCTCTTGTTAAGTACTCACCTGGAAGTTTTTAGCGTTAGTGATTGTGCTTAGTGAGTGATGTGCGATTTGGAAATGAGATTATGGTCAGATGGCATCAAAAGGGGGAAAGAAACGAAAAGCATGAATGAACTACGATTCAAAATTTTCTTAGAAGAAGTTATAAATCAGAAGACAAACATGAAACGGATATAGGTGTAAGGAGGCATGTCAATGAGCTTTTTGAAGGTGATCGGACAAAGTATATGTAGAAGCACATCATCATTTCATGAATGATTTCACTTATCGGAAGTCATAATAGGTGAAACGACTAGTAGTCTGACCAGCTTAATAGCCTATTTGACGGTCAGAACAAGTACTTTTAGTATAAATTATGTCCTTATATGGTATAATACATGAATAAGTGAACAAATATATCAGGTAAGAACATGAAAAACAATAGAAATAATAATTAAAAGTGTGATTGTACAGGAGATAACGGAATATTCAGATGTATAGCAGACATAGCTGTAGGTCGAAGCAGTTCTCAGTCCAGCTGTGGGTAACATATGCAACATGGATGAAGCTGCTGTGTACAACGAGGTTTTCGTAGAGAGAGAAAGATAGAGAAATATGGCAACGGAGAGAGAAAGAGAGAGAGAGGTGAAAAGAAAATTGGTATGATCTCTTTCCAAGTTGTATAGAATGTCCAGTTAAATGCCTGTTCATATCATTGAGAAGTCAAGAACTAATAGAAGTAACGAGAGAGGTGCAAGAGAGATAAAGAGTGAAAGAATAAGAGAGAGAGAAAGATAGAAAGCATTGGTTCTGGACAATGGTCAACGGATTGGAGGAGAAAGAAAAATAGAGAGAGAAAGAGGAAGAGAAAGAGAGAGATAGCCAGATTACGCCTCAGGCATTCTACAATAAATGAAATATCATAAAGAGTTGAGAGAATTTGCAATATATGAGAGATGACAGAGAGGGCGAAATGAAGTAATTAAGTCGAAGGTAATTTCAGAGAACTTATTCCAAAGGTTCAGATGGGATGCCTAGCCATGATCATTGAAATATCAAATGATCATCAGAGAGTGTAAGATTGGAGAAAAGTGAAGATGATACAGCTGGCATTGAGAGCATGTTCATCGAGATTCTCTCAAATCGTTTTTGGATATTTTGCTTATCAGAACTTGTAAGCTTCAGGAAGAAGCTGACGAAGGAAAGAGGAAAATGCTAAATTTGGTGGAAAAAATAAACTTCAAGAGGTGTAAGCTTCTTTCTGAGGAGATAAATATCTTCGAACGTTCAAAGCCTTTTATATTTAATACTAAAAATAATAGTTGAAAGTGAGACGAATTGAGAGAACGAAGTGAGACTAAGTGATTGAGAGAGGAGAAGGTTTGGAAAGTTTAGTTAAAAAACAGCTGAATAGCATGTTAATCAAATAATTGAACAAAAATGGAAAGTAAACGTTAAGAGTTAATCAGTAAATACTAAAATGGCTTGTTAAGAACTTCAAAAGTAGAAATGCCCTTTGTGAACTTGGGTGATAGCATATGTTTCTAGAGATATTTTCCTTTCTATCCCTTTGTAAAAGAATGGATCAGGGTCAGATTTTCAAAGAATATGCTGGTCACTCATGCCATCATCGTTGGCTTTGAACAGCTGTCTTCAAACTCAGCTGATCAAAATTCTTGAAAATCATTCAGAAAAAGATGAATGAAATAGAAAATGAGAGAAGAATTGGAACAACAACCGTACTGATAGAGATCAAACTGATGAAATGAGCAGAAATTAGCATAAATCTTATATAATAAACTTACTATGCTAATTATATAGTATAGTTTGAAATGTACAACATTCATATTGGGTGGTCTTATTGGTCAAAAGTCTTCAAATAAAAAAGATAATAACTGGAGAAGAATCTTCATGATAGGATGGTGGGGGTAGGGGGGGAGTGGGTTGTGTTGTACAAAATAGATAAAAATGATAAATTATAGTTGGGCATGGTTAATTACGCCGAAAAAGTTGAAAGCTATCGTAATCCATTTGTTGATAACAAAAAAAACAGAAGGAAGTGGAAGAACAGAAGAAGAAAAGAAAACCTTGCTGGGATAAAGGTTGAGATTTGGTCTTCGTCTGCTCTCTGTGTACATCTTCTCATCCTTCTTCTTCTTCTTCTTCTTTTTTTTTTTGAAAATTGATGAAGTAAAAAAAAGAAAATAAGATTAGGCAGTAGCAAGCTTAGAAGTAAACATGCTTTGATATTGAAATCTTCCAGCAATCAACACTTATATGAACTCGTAATTATTCTTATTTACACATTTCCACTCCTGCTGAAATAAAATTCAATTTTTACACAAAGTTTGTTACAAATTACATTATGCATCTGATTATGTATGTGTGAGTGACTGTTCTTCTGCTTCTTTTTTTTCTTTTCCTGTTATTCAACTATTTAATTAAATGATCTTTCCATATTGTGATTGTAAGAGAGGACCATTCACAACTCTCTCTTCCAAATTAGTCAGAATCACAAGCTGACAATCTCTGTGGCAGAAAAACACTAAAAGCTTCTTCAGGGAGGAACGTTTGGCTTTTCAAGTTTTTTTTTTGGATTTATGGAAGGCTTCATAATGAGTTTCTTTCTTCTTATGCAAGTCACAAAAACTGTGACAACTGCACCCATGAGATTATCTTTTTGACTTAGCCATAGTTAATATACCGTATACCATATACAAGGAAATGTTTGTTTTGAATGTCAAAAATTGTAGATGAGAGTGTTCAGAAGAATGACTGTCATCATGAAATCCCCGTAGACGTTCGTTGTTCTGTTGCATGTCATCCGACCCATCAACGACGTTTGACGTCGTCACCGTCTGTATGTCAACTATCTGACGTTCCACATATGCCGAATGATGAGCCTAGCGACACTTGTCACTTAAAAAGTTGAAAGCCTTTTGCTTGTAAAGTAGGATTTTTAATTTTGTCTCCTTTTCAGCTTTCCGAGCTTCATCATCCAAACAAGGGAACATTTTTATGGTTCAGCTTTTCTTTTTTTTTCTTCTCTTCCTAACCTCTAGCCATTATCGGAGAGAGATCAATAATTTTATGTTTCAGTTTCTATAACATCAACCGCTCTACGTGAACTGCAAAATGAAAATGACGAAAGAAACGGAAGCTTCACGTGAATTACGTGAAAATACGTGGCACTTAAACGCTATTCAAACAAAAAAAACATTTTTACTCTACTAAAAACTTTAATGAAATATTTAATTATTCTCTACTTTTTATAGTATAGAAGCATAGAAATTAAAATTATGTCATCGCCTGCAACATACTGCGACAACGACGGGCAAGTTATCTGTTAGTAAACACTAACTATAGTATAATTTTCCATAAAAAAATTAACTCATTCCCTATGTTTATCTGATAAGTTCCAAGAAGTTTTTTCATAAGAAACGTTTTATTTCAATATAAATAGCAATTTGTTATCAAAAAAATGAGAGAGAGAATGTTTTTCTTCCAAACTATGATCGGCTATTAGCAAAGTTTGAACGGCGAATTCCAATTATGGTATTTTGGGTCAGCATACATTGGACTGGAGAGAAGAAGCAATTTCGATTCATTCGAGTAGGTTTGCTGGCCACAATACTATCCTGATGATTGGATAAGTGTCTATAATATATAATAATAATAATAAAAACATTTCTTTTCTTTTTTGTCGTATTTTTCTTGATATGGTAATTGATCACAAAAGTGTCGAAAACAGCTGATAAATTTGGAAGAAAGAGGAAATTCTTTTTTTCTTTTGCTTTCCTTTTGTTTTTAATTGCAACAAAGGAAGTTGCTTTCACAAAATTGTCCACGGTATTGGCGGTATGAGAGTATGCTTACCTGAGAAGCTTTTTATAATAAACATGATCATCCTGTGACATCTCAGCATTACTGGTGGCCATCAGAAGAAATACAATAAACCAACTTATAGATGTCATGGTTTCGTTTTAATTTTCAATCGAATTTGTTTAATCGTTTTTATTCTGAGAATAATACCTGAAAAAACGGGAACGTTTGAGAAAAGCAAAGAGATACAAGCTTGACGTCACTGTTATCACTCAAGTGATCTTGAGAAATAAAAAAGATTTAAAGAAAGCAATGCATGAACTGTTGAGTAAAGTCAATTGGAATTAGTTGTATGTTGATGAACAAACTAAAAAACTAAATAGAATATTATGAAAAGCTAATTGATGATCAACTTCTCTCGAACTATCAAGAAGTTTGAGTGAATGTGGCATTCAGAAAGACTGAAGTCCGCCCCTTTTCTAACCTTCTGTCTCCCTCTCTCCCTCTATATACACCCACTTTATATCTTAAGTAAATATTCTAAGATCATTTGACTTTAATGGTTTTTAAAATTATTTTGAACTTAAATAACAAATTATCCCTTGCACCCCCTTAAATTGATGAAGAAACTCATTTTTTTTGGCCTCTCACATGAGAAGATCAGAAGTAGATGAGAATGAATGCAAATTAGTCCTCATTTTGGGATTCCACTTGAGCCACGAACATCAAATGCTTTTACGGTTCATAAAACTCAATTAAAGTCTGCTCCTCCTCCGCTTTCTGTTTTCTTTCATCATCTTACTCTCATTGAATATATTTTCATATTGCAAATCATCCGAAGATATGCAGAATAGTTCAAACCTAGTGGATGAGTTGGTTTTTCATTAATTCCGCTTGCACGTTTTATCATCTTCCTTTCTCCTTCTCCTATCTCCATAGCTTCGTTTTCACCGTCGGCATCGTCACTGACGTCGGTGACGGGAACAGTTATGGTCATTTGGATTGTGGAGCAAAAAAACGACATCGAAGAGTTTTCTTTCTGCAAAAACGACTTTTTTTCTTTTCCTCCTTTTTTTTGGAAAAGGATGTGGATGAGAGCTAATCAGAATTAACATGTTAAGTAATCTTTGAGAGCTTTCATAAGAGCTTTTCCATTATGTAACATTGGAGAGAGAAAAAAAACTTTTATTTTCTTATCAAAATTTTGAGTTCAATTTAACAAAAGACTAAAGAATTAAATTAATTTGAGAATGGGACAAATCACGTAAGCAATACATGGAAATAGATGAAAAAAAGAAAACTTTCGTAAGCTTACCGGGGAAAACACATTAACAATCAATTAAATATTCGATTATTTCCTTTTTCTTTTCTTCTAACGGACATCAGCATACAACGTTTTACAAAATAATTTTTGTTTCGACGTCTATCCCTCTGCCTACTCTATTTAGACCTGCCCCCTCTCTACGCAAAATTTCATTGTGGATAGGAAGAAACAAGCTGTGTGTCGCTATCATGAGTATATATATATATAAATAGTATAATTAGCATAATAGTTATTATCCAACTTTGAACTACTTTTTAACAATTAATTTAATATTTATTTACCATATTTTATTGTTTTTCATAGTAGTGTTTCAAGATGAATGCTGAATGCGGACAAAGTTACAAAAACAACCGTTCATACACGTCTGCATACTTGGAAATGATTGCGTCAGCTTTAAGCGTGAAGTTCACGTAATTTTTGACGTGTTCTACGTGTACGTGTACGTGAACAAGAAAATGGATATATATATATATATATATATATATATTCATAATATTCATATAAACTATCAGAAGAATTCAAAAATATTTTTGTGCTGCATAGTAGAATAAATGAATAAATAATGAAATAAACCATTTTATTTGTTAAACATAGTTTAGTTGTATAACAGATTTTACAAATGCCTCACAAACAACATCACTCATGACGATATTCAAATTAGTTTTCAGACAGTCAGATAGACTGTTCATCCATTTGATAGCATGTACTGTCGTTTCTTCAGATAACTCTCTTTCTAATGACGATTTCCAATTTAGAATCTGAATGAAAACGATCGTACTGATTAAAAATCAACAACCAAATTTCCTAACCACATCTGAGAGGTGAGCAGTCAAAACACATTGTGTAACATATAGTATTCGTGGGTGTTGTGGACGATCATACTCCAAGTTTTTCTGTAAAAAAAAGTTGCATATCGCCTTATTAATCGATGAAACGAAGAGGAATAATCATTAGGAAAGCATTAAATAGCTTCCAACGATCATTTTCCGGTTCGAGACGGAAAAATATGTTCTTTCGAAAATATTTTCAATATCTTAGAGTAGAGAAATGTTTGATAATTTACCTGAAGGTTTGTAAACAACGAAAAACGGTTGTTTGTGTTGATCCACGGTGACCGGATGAAGTTTTGGGACCAAAAACTACAATTAGTATTGTCTGATTGAGGCATCAAAGTAATTATTCTGCAATTAATATGAGATCATATGGCTAAACATTTCATCCTCCAACTGGTATTTCTTAGTATGCATATAATCTAAAGTACATAGCGATGGCAACATCTGCGGACACATTGATTCTTTTCCTAGTATTTCACAGATTTTAGATCTCATTGAAAGTTCTGCCGTCTCGTCCAGTCCATAAGCATGATTTATATCAATTATGATAATCTTTAACGGTAATCAACATGAAGCTAATGACATCATTCACAGACCAACCTCTAACGGATTGACGTCAAGGAAACTCCGAATCTTCTTTAAAGCTTCTACTAAGGTGTGTCCATAAAGAGCATGGACTAATATGAAATCCTGTGCACCTGATTATGCATATCCCTTTCATTTACTTACATCTAGCTTTCTCCTCAAATTTTCAGGTGGGTGAGAGACCCGGAAATCAAAGTAGCGAACACCACACGTCAATTGATCTTCTATGCCTAATCTGAAGAGTCATATGACTATTTATAGGGAATTGCATTAGAATGAAATGAGAGAAAAAAAGACATTTTTATGAAATAAGACCTTTGAGTGATAGCCCATCTTCGAATTCCTTTCCGGATACGAGGAATCTTTCCGGCCAGAGCTACGATGCCTTTTTCATCGTTTGCAACTGGCAATTTGCAGTTTAAGCCTCTATCAGCACCGGAATCATGTGATCCTAAAACACTTCTTCTTTCATTTCTGAAAGATCAGAAAAATTTTCATAAACAAAGCTTTATTAGAGAATGCTTAGTTTTACCCGGGATCTTCAATTCACAAATGGGCCTTGAAGTTAAGTTGGGAGGGAGAAGTGTCATCCATCTGGTTAGTTCTAAGATAAGTCACTGATAAACGATCTCAATCGACATCTCACCTATGAAGTCACAGGAGGAAGTCATTTTTTTACTGTAACTGGGATGTGAAAACAAAAGACTGAACTGAATAGAATACTTAAGAACAAACTTATGGTGCAAAGAAAGTATGAAAAGTTGATACATCCTGTTTCATAGAAACAACATATGATAAGGCAGAATTGGAATGATTCATTCAATAAATTATTCCTAAATCGTCATCCCATATACTTTTTCGAGGAGTCCTCCCGGATGACTTGGGATGTTCTTTGTACTCTGCTACAAAGCCTTTCTCTTCCTCCGAGTCATCTGTATGTAAAATGAGTAATAAGCCAGAACCTTCAAACAAATGAAAACATCACGTTATAATCTAGAGATCATCGAAACCTGAGCTAACAAATGGGCCAGGAACTTCCTCACTGCAGAATCGACCAAAAAGCAAATCTGGTGAAGGCTCCAAGCCATCATAAACCTTTGAATAAAACATTTTAATATCTATCTTTTGGTATAAACCTCAATGTAATCATATTGGCAAGTCGTTTCTGTTTCAATGTTGAATGACGTGAATTCAAGTTTAACACCTCTTCTGGACGAGGTCGATGATATTCTCCACCAGCAATCCTAATGCAAAACATAGTATAGATAACAGGGATCATCACACCTGACTTTTTCCATACTTGTTATCACTATATGTAGCATGAGAATAAATATGTCCAGGTGATGTTTCAGCTGTAAGACTTCCTCCACACACTGAACAATACGATTACCATGCATGCAACTGTGCAACTAGCTCAAGATTTACCTGAAGCATATTGGGCCTCAAAGCCTCGTCGAGCTACAGATGCATCAGAAGAAAATAACAAAAACATTTGGTTTGTTGTTGAAAGTATGAGAGGGGGGACATTGATACCACAATAGATACCTATAATGCCAAACGTCTTAACGCATTCACATGTTTGTACCAGTCATTGTAGAAGTGAAATCGCCGCCATCAAAAACACTTACATAGTCGTATTTACATTGTGAATGTTCTTCAACTTGAAAGAAGGAAAAGGTCTGCAAAAGCATGTTTTCATTTAAGTTTTATTTTTGTTCTTACCAGCATAACACGATGTCCAGGTGTTGTCACAAAATGCCAAGTACAATTCTGATTTTTGGCATACTCTTTCGGAAAGTTAGGCGATGTTATTTCTCCTCAAAAGATGAAGTTTTAGAAAAGAAAACGATTGAAAGATATACAATACCATTTGGTTCGTTCAATTCAAAGACACATCCGCCTTCTTTGCAGTTTCGGCCATCAGAAGACAAAACGAATCCAGCATGACAAGAACATACATGCGAACCTATCGAACAACGTACTGTTTGCTTGATATATTAACCCCACTAACCTAATCGATTATGACAAACATGCTCACAACCGCCATTATTTACTAAACATTCATCCAAATCAGCTTCAAAACTTGCTGTAAATCCTATTCGCTCGACAGATGAATCGGATACAAACTTCACACGTAAGCGATTACCAGTCGAAGTGAACAACAACGGCTCATCTTCAAAGAAAAAATATAAATTACTCCAGATAAAGTGGACATATAAACTGATTTAAGCTTAACTTACTGTATTCTCCACATAACTTTTCACCATTTCCTATCTGTACATAATCATATGTGCACTCACTACGCATTCCCTGAAATTAATAAGATCGAGTATGGTACTTCCAGTGTTTTGCAAATTGAGTGCAGCACTAATTGCTTACTTCAACATTGAATGTGGAGAAATTTAAAAATATCTGATAACCAATTGCAGCTTCTAGTTCCCACACACAATTCTTCGAGGGTGAGTAATGATTAGGGAAGTTAGGGGATGAGAAAACTCCTTCTGAGGCTTTGAGAAAGCCTCCGCATGTGCCTGGAACGATAAAGTTTTTCTATGGAATCTATTTCAAACTAACTTTCACACGTTTTTCCATCAGGCCTCAAGCTGAATCCAACATTACATGAGCATGTGAACCCTCCTATGATGTTGACGCAATTATGCTCACAATTATCAAGCTCTTTTGCACATTCATCAAGCTCTTTCATAAAGCGAATTTCAAAACCAGACTTTTGAACAGAATTATCAGAGAAAAACCTCAATAAATAGAAATTATGGAATCATTTTATTCTGAGAGCTATTACCTCAATGTTAACACGTTGCTTTTCTTAGTAACTATTTGAGTATCTGCTACTTGGCCGCACAAAACGGTCATTGGATTAGAGATATCAATTCCTTCATAAAGTATCAAACGATCGTAAATACAATCTTTATGTTGCTCCAGCTAGATGTAAACAACATTAAAGTATAATAGTTTTAATAAAACTTACGTGAAAATAGACTACTTCCAAAGCTACTTGATGTCCTTCAGATACGTGAATTGTCCATAAACAGTCGGAATTCGGGGGATAAGAATCTGGGTAACGAGGGCTCTGAAACCGAATCAGGCTTTGAAGTTCCAAAGTAATCTTATACGGTTACCTGAATAATCCCGTTATCAGCATATATGGGCCCACCGCAGACAGCATAGTAAGTACCAATGACAGATTTAAGAGGAAGAAACGAATTGAGCTCTACATACATCCTATTCCCCGTAGAGACTACCGTTCTGAATCCTAGTTCATCGCCACATATTTTATCTGTGAGAAAAAAAAGAATTGAAAACACAGAACTCTTTATTATACCTAAAGTTGCTGATTTCGGGGTACTCCCATCTCTTATTGTTATAACGTTTTCTGTTTCCGCATTGCAGGAACGTTTTGGGGGTGCAAGCTCAGATCCTAAAAAAACAATTAATCAATTGTTGTAGTTTGAATTTAGCAGACAACCGTTCCCACATGAAACAATGAAACAATGAATTTGTAAATGCATGTGAAATTTGCCACGTTGCTTCCGTGTCTCACGTGAGTTACGTCATCATTAGCAATGCTAATAGATATCCGATTGCAAAACTTACCAGTGAGATTAAAGAATATAGTATGACCTTCGGGGGCGATTATTTTCCAAACACACTTCCCTTTGTTGGTAGCAAAGATATCAGTCGTTTCTTGAAGAAGTGTTGATCCACAACCTTCAAATAGTGTGTTATACATACCCAACCGTTAACATACTTGGGCATTTATATAATTTATTAGCTTGACGTATATCACCCTCACTCAATTGGATTCTTTGGCCTATCTCAGAACGAAATCCTAGAATACATCTTTTGGCTGACATAATAAAGTTCATACGTTGTTACCAGATGATGGTTTGGGTAAAATCGTATCATGGAATGTTCCTCGACTAAATGTGTCTCTCGCATAATGCATAATCGAGTTGAAATCGTATGGCTCTCCCAGCGAGTTTACTTCGTCTGGTTTTGATTTTTCGAAGTTATAATCTTGACCTACAATATGAAAATTACATCACATATTTCAGAGTCTCATTTTTAACCGGGTTGAATGCTCTTGTAAAAAATATCAACATATTGATCGCGATCTGGGCGAGTATGTTCATGCCAGAATCCAACCACATGGCCAAGTTCGTGAACAACAATTCCGAACTTATCGCAGTTTTTGCCAATAGAAATGGCTTGTGGACCGTCTGTCCGTCGTCCCACGTACGAACAACAGCTGGAACAAGAACGCAGTGAGTTCGTGGAAGTAAAAGAAATTACAGAGAAACAATCAAAGAGAACAAATCACTCTTCTATCCCAATTGCTATTGAAATAAACAAATTTAACTTTCTGAGATATTTTGAAATAGAAGTTTTCAACTGTTCTTTTCCGGTTCAGAACAGAACGCAAAACTTTTTTTCTTACCCGCACTTATCAACTGTAAACATTATGTAGTGGCGATGCTGCTTTTGCCGTGGAACAAATGAGACGCACGTATGGTTCTCCCAATGTTTCATTGCTCGAGCAAACAAGTTTTTGTGCTCACCTTGAATATGAAATTGAACGTATTCACTTCTTAAGCTGTAAGGAACCTGAGAAATTAGCAGCGATAACAAAAGGGATAATTCCATCCGGCCAAATCCGCTCTTTTCGCGCTGTAGCTGCTCTTCGGCTTCGTGAAGTAAACGCGATATTGGTATGATTTTTAGAAGAATAAATAGGTTCGCTCAAATTATCCACAGGATATGAATGATAAAAACGTCGATATGTTATGACATCAGACACGGAGGTGGTCGCAGTGGTCAAGAGAAAAGCCCATATGACCATCAGGAATGTTGAGTCTCTGGTCCACTGATGTCGCATGTTTCAGTGAGTTGCGAAGAACAGATATGAGGGAGAAATAGGGAAAGCTACGAAAAATGAAGAATAAGAAGAAATAGAATAGAGACCTTCCACTAACATATATACGAAAACTCTTTGAGCACTTTGGTCAATTATCTGTGTATCTCCGTTCAAAGATATTGTAAGTGAGCCTGGAATAGGGCAGGAAGGAAGAAGAGCAGGAGGAAACACAGTCCTAGTCTCTTCACCAGTCCATTCGTGCCAAGACACATCTGTTCCTTGTTTTCACATCGACCCTTCGTTTGTGTCTCTCCTTGTTCCTGATCATCATAGACTTCTTACGGCTAACCCAACACAACTCTTATGATAGGAAACAACCAGGGTCATAAACAACAGAAGAAGATTGAAATTAAATCCTAAACGATGCTTTCCGAACGGAAGAAGTTAAATTTCGCTGTACTTACTAGTTAATATCTTCCTCATAAATCAATGACATGTTACACATATACGTAGATGATATAACTGCTGGTCAGAGCTGTAAAAACAGAAGTTTACTGATGACCAGGTGTTTCCACGTGGTGTCCTTTTCAGCAACCATGATATGTGTCTGTTTATATCGTATTTCTCCGAACAAACGTATTGTTATGTTTTGATCTCAAGAAGTATGTTATCGATTTTTCAGTTCAAACCGTGATACACCACAACGATGATTGAACACCTCTCTAAACTACAAAATACGATAATAGTCAAGAGATATTAGATATTACCCTTTCTGAAGAAATAGAAAACCGTTTTTTTACAGCACTTGCTCAACAACAGCGCGCCTGTTGTTGTTAGAGAGAAGTATGCCCGTATCTATATAGTGAATTCTAAAATCATAAACTCTCTATTCTTCGTAGCAAGTAGAAAATTTCTATAAATTTGATTTTTATTTCTCTTTAATAATAAAGCATTTTATAGATTGCTGAATTATTACATCGATTATTGTTATTTCTTAAAGTTTCAATATTATACACGGTTTATAAAATTATTTTTGAAAAACTGAAACATTCAGGTAACCCATTATCCATTACCGAAGTTAAAACCACCTCCATTACCATTTCCTCCAAAGATTTGAGAGAATAAATCGAAGATTTTGCTTCCTTCCGACACACTTACACCAGGAAGGATTGGAACTGAAAACAGAGCGGTTATAGATTACTCAACAGTTCGCTCACTATTACGAGAGGGTTGAGCAGTAGTTGTTGGGGGTGGAGGTAGAGATATACATTTTTCTCCTTTTCGTTCAAATCCGCATCTTAAGTATAAAAAAAATAGCTTCCCGAAATCAATTTCGTCAAACCTGCACATGCAACGGCCTCTATAACATCCCGAGTTCAATGGACACTGTTTTTGAATAAAACACTGTTGGCCAAGAGTAACAGGCTTTAAATGATTTTTATAAAAACAGATAACTGACTGTAGCTTACTTTCATACAACTTGTGTCTCGGCTCAGATTTTCTTGCGAACAATCGCGCGAACATGTCTGGGAAGGATTCTTTAATGGATGTGTTAATGTATCAACGGTTGGATGGAAACCATCAGTACATTGACATTGACCCTTAACATTCGAATATGAATAAGACGTGTCATTTATGAACCACCTTGATGCATTCCATACCCTCTCCACCGCCACATTGAGCATTTGATACACACTGACTGTTCAACTGACCACGAGGCAAACACTGGTGATTAGCGTACAATGCGTTCGGCGCCATAGCGTTACAGGGCCTACGGCAGCAGACCGCCATAGAGAAACCGCCGTCTGAACGCCTACAGTTTACAGACCACTAAGAGAACAAACCTGATAAATAATGACAGTAGTGAGTATCAGAAGGGCATTTATTGTTCATGTCTGCATCTGGACTACACGAATATCTTGTATCCACATGAGAAGCCAATGGACATACAACAGGGCAGCAATGGCCCACTGGACTATCAGCTGCAGTTATGCAAATCTGTCCGATTGGACAGTTATCTTGTTCTGTTGGGAAGTTGAAAGCCTTCAACATTTGAACTATGAATCACGTTTACGAAAGAACCCTACCAGACTTGAATCTGTTCGCCTTACACAGCTCTGGCCAGGTAAACCTCCGAGCGGACAATTAGCCGCTGCAACGCAACGTGAACCCTGCGCATTGAAATGTTTAAAATTATAGATAACTAAATTACTTGTTGTATAGTTCCACTGATACAAACACATTGAGAATTCAAACAAGCTGAAAACGGCGCAGAGCAGTCGTAATGTCTACTGCAGCGGTCTCCAACATTAGACGCTGAAAATGAAAATTTGAATATTACAATTTTCACGTGCAAATTTCTGGCGTGCAAATGCTCACACACTGAAGTTAAATGCTCAGAGCGGTTGCATTATCTACTAAAACAGAATCACTACTTACTTACTACACATTCAGAGTTAGACAACCGAGTATTTCCACGTTGAACGCATTGACATTCTCCATTTCTACAGAACAGTGGCTCACGGCATTTCAACGCTCCACAAGGAGCCCCAATTTTTGCAGGTACTGTAATTGAAAATGCTAGTGAGAAGCTTGTGATTGAACTAACAGATTTTGCAGCTCCAACGTCCCTTTTCATCAGCGACTTCTCCATAGTGTGGATGACATCTAAACTTCATAATTGTTTTGATATTGAATATGATCAAAGAAAACCTGCATTTTCCACGTAAGCAAATAGAACCTTTCAGTTCACAATCCGAATTGACATCACAAGAACCGTTTAATTTTGATTTACCTTAAATGGAAAAAGAATTTCGAGTTTCTGAATAGATAGATAACACGAACCATTGCATGGTGTGAACTGTTGGGCTTCAGTGAGCCTCAACAAACAAAATATCACTAATAATATGAATATTTTATAAAATAAAGAAGTAGCAGTTTGCATTTTAGCCTAGTCTAGGTGAATCGACATGGATAATGACCTATTTCGTTATTGATTTCCTTGCGCACTCCAAATTCTTGTATCTCTGTCCTTTCTTTAGATTCTTCCATTATCGTGATTTCATCATTTCTTCGATTTGGCTTGTTACCATGTTTGCGTAATTGTATAATTGAAAGATAATCAAGTATAGAACTGATGTTCATTTTCAGCTCAAAGAAAAAGATGAAATTGGAAAATTCTGCTAAAAGCCACCGGACTTGAGGAAAAACACAAGTAATAGGGAACCATTTTCAAAATACACAAGAGTGCAATAGTGTTTAAAAACTAACAAACCAATATGAAAAAGGCCAAACAGTCAACATACAATTACAATTATACAATATGCCTTTAGGAATAAAAATCTAAGTATTGGCAGCGAGCTTTGCAAATTTCTTAAAATTCTTAATGATCAAATTAATCTCCTCTACTCTGATTCTACTGCTTATTTACATTTTGACTAGAGATGCTACCGTCCAATAACAACATTCATGATAAACGAGGCTTTTGTGATCAAAATGAAAACATGAAAGGGTTTCTCTTCCGAACGAAGTGGCAAGAATAATTTAGGGAAACAGTCGAGCTTAATAAATGTGACTGCATTTCTTATATGAAGTGCATCATATGTGATAATCAGAGAAGAGCGAGAGAGAGAGAGAGAGAGAGAGAGAGAGAGAAAGAGAGAGAGAGAGAGAAAGAAGAGACAGAGGGAGACGGACAAACAGAGAATAGAAACTGAGGGAGTTTTGACACAAATGAAAATTCCGGGACAGGAAAAGTGAGATAAGTAGGAAGTTCTGAATATGAAAGAGGTATTTTAGGTTATCTTTATTATCAATCAGGCATTGGTTTAGAAACCATCATCCCATCCTGAGAACTCATCGGGTGGAACATCCAAATCAGGTGGATAATTATCAAAGTTGGTCACATCAGTTGGATTGGAAACCTATAATTGAACTATTAAATAAAAGAGATATTCAGATAGATCAAACCTTAGGTAGAATTGGAGCCTTCAAAGTACGAGTTCTCAATCCTTCCCAGTCAAAGCCCATAAACCATCTATGTTTACGAATGTCATTTACTCCTCCGCTTCCAGAACCCAATCGTTCGGATGGGTTATCACGACAGAGCTTCTTAACGAGAGCAGTAGCTGTTTTACCAATACGTCTGAATAAGATGTATTTTCAATAATTAATGATGGAAGAACTCCATACCTATTGGGAATTTCGAGAGCATCAACACCTTTCAAGATTAAGGTGTAAGTCTTCATTGGATCACTAGCTTGGAATGGTGGACGTCCCAACATAAGTTCACAAATGTAAATACCTGCAAATCATAGCATAAGTTTCGAAAACTTTTGACAAATACTTACCTAACGCCCAGTAATCAGCTGCTTGATCGTGACCTTTATTCAGAATAATTTCTGGAGAAACATACTCAGGAGTTCCGCAGAACGTCCAAGTTTTTCTTCCAGAAGCCAATTTCTTAGCAAATCCGAAATCAACCTGCGATAAGAATTTGCTGACAATCAATTCAAATGGAGCCTCACCAATTTGAGATATCCAGTGTCTGTAAGAAGACAATTCTCAGGTTTCAAATCCCGATAGACAATATGTTTTCGATGAAGATACTCAAGTCCTTCAAGAACACAGGCAACGTAGAAACGAGCTGTGTAATCATCGAAATGACCTGTACAGGAAAGAAAATTAATTGAATTAATCACACAGGAATGCGTACCTCTATCACGGAGAGTAGTCCATAGTTCACCTCCGAGACAGACCTCCAGAAGCATGTACACAAACTTAGTATCTCGGAAAGTTTTATAAAGCCTTCAAATTGTACTATATTTCCGCAGAAATTTTTAATACTCACTTAACGATCCAATCCGAGTTCGTTTCCATCATTATGTTACGTTCGGCGAAGATGTGCTCTTGTTGTCTAGTATCGACTCAAAACAAGAACTTTAATCAAATTATGAGGGTCAGTAACAAACCTATGTGTTTCTTCTTTAAGGCTTTTAAAGCATATGTTTTGGATTTATCACTGTTAAGACAGACCTTGAAAGGTTTTCCATAAAAAAGGGTACATAAGTGGGTAACCTACAAGTTCGACACGACCGAAGCCGCCAACACCAAGAGTTGCCAATCTTTTAACATTTGTTAACTTAATACTCTCGAATTCCGCTCGGATATCATCCTAGAAAATGTGCATATTTGCTTATAAGGTTTTCTGAGCGTACCATAATTCCGAGTTTATCGGGACTAGGAGGCTCAGGCACTCCTCCACGAGCATCATCTCCGTAATCTTTACGAATAGAATCCAAGTCAATGAGTTTCAAAAATGAATCTCTGAAGCGGAATGGCAAAAGTGAACATGCTTATTATCAAGATTAAGAAACCTGTCCAAAGTCAGAACTTCTACTCCCGGCGCTTGCGCAATTATGTTTGCCGTGCGTACTTCTTCTCCCAATAAAGCTCGTTCTCCGAAGAAATCACCCTAAGAATCTCGAAATAGAAACAAAACTTAAGGTTCAACTAACCTGTCCAAGTACGCGGATTTCTCGTGTTTCATTCTCAAATGTTCTTGTAACTTTCACTTGGCCACTGTTGATAATAAAGAATGTGTCTCCCTATTGAACAATGGGTTCACAAATTGAAATAAATGGTGAAATACCTTCTCTCCTTGTCGAATTATGTAATGCCCACCAGCATAATAATCTTGATCCAATACATCCGCAATTTTGGCAATTCGATCCTCGGTTAAATGTTCGAAAATGCTGACCTAAATCGAATGCATGATGGACTAAAGAGTAAAGATGCAATACCTTGCTCAAGAAGCTCATTAATTGCGCATGTCTCTCCATTCCAAGTCGCTGGGTGATTTGTTGGAAAACACTTCGATCGAGTACCCATAATTGGACGTCAGTTTTAGCTTGGACAGAAGCAGTGCTGAAAAAATAGAACGTCGTATTGAATGGCATTTCATAAAATGAATTAGATACTAAATGCCTCCGTATACCTTGATGGGCTCAAAATCATATTCTCTGATGAGTACCATTGACTGATTTTATCCCAAATATAATACTGGGCATGTTTTATAAGAGGAGAAGGTAGGATGCACGCGCACATAATACAAATAAGTTAAAGCTGAGTTATTAGAAAGCTGGATGCTCAAGACTTTAAAGTCCAAAAAAGCACTAGTGTGAGAATCGTTGATACATCAACATCATATGGCAATTCAGGAAATCAGACCAATGAGATTGGTAAGGCCGTCAGAAGGCATCAAAACTTGACGTGAAGGTGTACCTCTTTTCTCACGTTCTCTCTCATTGATAGAAGACTGCATCGTTTGCCTTGGGTCGTATGATGACGCGAGTGTAAAGCAAAATAACTTGCAAAGCAGTTAGCCATCTAAGACAACTTTTTTAATTGGAAAAAGTCAAGAATGATTCTTTAGAATAATCGAAAACTCAAGAACATATAAGTGTAATAGAAATTTCTTTAGAAGTTAGCGCACTAGATCAACCGTTTTCTGTTAACACACATTTAAAAATGAATATGGGACAAGGCAGTGTTTGTACGAGGAGTGCGCATGAATTCTAATTAGAGATCTCTTTCACCGAATCGAATACCGACTCTAATTATCAACCGCCATATATTTGATGGCGTTGCTCATATAAATACTGCTTACCGAGTACAGTTGTATAAAATAGCCAATTCTCCCATCACAGTTCCAGCTTTCATCATTCCCAATAGTTGTCCTTCCCGAGAAACTTGAAGTTCTCCCTCTGAAACAGTAGTAGATGTCATCAGATACGGAATCTAGTTTCACCTGCAACCACAAACAGGCGATCTCCTGGTTCACCCTCTTGGATAACCCATTGTCCTGCTCTTGCTCTCATCTCGTACATGCATTCAACCAATTCAATAATCTGTTCTTTAGCTAATTGCTTGAGGAAATCATTCTTCTGAACAGCATCCCGGATCAGTTGTTTAGACCTAGGGTTTAAAATAATTGAAACAACAAAATATTTCATCATTTACCCAGCTGTTTTGCTATGATGTTGAAGTGTAGCCTTAGTTTGTTCGAAATTAGTGGGCTCAGCAGAAACAGCAAGTTTCTTAGATCTAACGTCATTAGGTAAGACAGCCTTCTAAAGATTGCATTCAACATTTCAACAAAAAAATTAACTCTGAACAGAGTTAAAATACTACCTGTTGAAGATCGTTTCCTAATTGCTCTGTACGAGAGCCAGTAGGAGAGGCTGGAACACCTGGACTAGCAGCAGATGTGGCTTTTTGGTCGAGAACAGATCTCAGTTTGTCACACTCCCTCTGAAATTTTCTTTCTGAATAATAAAAAGAGAGTCTATCTAACCTGGAGAGATGTAACTTCAGCTTCCAATTCAGCAATGCGCTCCAGATGGTTTTCTAAGTCCTTCTGTTGCTGCATTAGCAAATGATCCTTCCGCTGAATGGATTCCTCCATTTGCGGAATTAGCTTTTGCAACTCATGAGCCTCAAATATCCGAGTTCCAACTTGAACCTAAAAACAATTAATAAGCATGTGTTTGGAGTCTTGTTGTTGAATCCATTGCAACCACAATGGGAAGGGGGCCTGTTATCAAAAAGGGAAATTGCTTTTCACTACCACTCCACCATTACTTCATTATTTTAGTAATAGCAGCAGGCGAGAACTCATTGCTAAAGTTAACTGAGTTTCTGATTTCCGCAAAGATATGAAACGGCCATGACTAGTAGTATCAAAACAACAGAGAACCAAGTTTTAGTCGAAAACTACTAGTGAAGACCCAATAAACATGAGCATCTCCTATTGTGATGTTGTAACCTCTTCACACGCTACATCCCTATTTTGGGCAAAATAAGAAAACGTTCATTTCATTTAGCAGCTCTCCATATTCCCATCGATACATATTCACATCGTAGCCCTCACTTCGGAGCTACTTCTTCATGCGGGCCCGACCATGCCACTAATAGGCTTTTGCAGTCTTACTCTTCACTTAGATTATGGAAGCAGCACTAAGCTTCATGTCTTTCGATGCATTCATCCAATTCTACTCCTCTTTCTTTCTTCCATCTATTTACCCTGCTTCTCTTCCATTTTTGCTCCGAATGCTTACTTAGCTTTGTCACTGTTCCAATACTTTCGAGCGACAAAAAATTGCAGCAGTTGTTTTGTTGCCGTCGTCGTAGTTGATTCTGTATGATGGCGACACAATAGGAAAAATTGATGAAGGAAGGTAGTAGCAAAATAATCTAGGACTCAACAAAACTTTCGAGCACGTCGAAGATTGTGATGTGGGCGTGTTAACGAAGCCTATTGGCAACGAATAACTTGGCGGACAGGTGCCTCAATATTAACAACTTTACTTCAATTCAAAAGCTTAGTCATCAATTAGCTTGATTAGAAATAAAATCGTTTCAAAAACAAATGGTGAGTCATAAATGCCACTTGGATATCCAAGCTATACTAGTATCGCGCATCTTTCGGACGAAGTCCCTCGATAGTTGGACATCATGAACACAACTATCGCTTTCAAAAAAGATGAAACGAGAAAACAATATAAGAAAATGTCTTATAGCCATATTTACAACGCTTGACGATTCTGTCTGGCTATATTACTTTTCAAAACCTGGAAACAAGCTTGCAATCTCCAGAGAGAAAGAAGTGGGAACAAACAGAAAAATTTAGCGAAAAATCGAGCTTTTGACACAACCCACAGCTGCCCATCAGACTGATGAATAACGACACTAACATTTTTATGAAAAACCCAACAACACTGCACAATTGTCCATTGGGGAATGTTTTAGAATCTTGAAGAAACTTTGCTCATCGGAAATTGGTAGTTAAACTTTTCAAACTTATGTTTCTTAAGAAACTTCCTTAGTCATGTACTTTACCTAAATATTCATTCAAACGTCTAATCGAGGAAACACAATGTTAAGCCTCCGCCGAGATAGAACGCAGATTGTTAAGGAAGGCAGAAACTTGCTGGATTGCCACCAAGTCTCGCTCAAGTAATGAAAAGATTTATGGTCAATTTCACCTATTGATTCCAAAAGACACTCATAGTGTTAGCTTGTGTCTCCGCACAACACTAAATGGCCAAAAATAATTGGTTGCGGAACATGAGAAAGGCAAGCAAAGGCAAATTTGCAGAAACTTCATCTGATTCCTTCGAATTAAGCGAATCCCACGAAGTTCTTGCAATTCGAATCGCAAAGTGAGAAAATTGAGCTAATCTAGGTTGCCAGGAAGAAATTATGTCGAAGCAAGCTGCTGATGTTTTATTCATTAATCACAATCTCCAATTCACAGCTCTCGAAAGTTGTGTTTACGAGAAAAACAGCTCCAGTTCAACGCTTCCTTGCGCATGAGGAGAAACATCATTTTTTAGTGTTAGCAAGCAAAATGATTAGAATGCAGATCTCAGATTTCATAAATATCAAATAACGGTAGAAGGGATAGGTGTGCATATTTTCAAATTCCGCACTAATTAACACAAACATTTCTGCCCAAGTTACGCTTTTCCACTTCACAACATCTGTTTCTCTTTTTCCATTCATGAAAAATAAAAGTTATGATTGAATTTTACAATCACACTTAAACAGTTTTTCTTTTATCCTTACCCACCAAATGACAATGTCTAACAAACTTTCAAAAAAAGAAAACAAAGCAGACTGTAGGAATACACTGAATGAACGCTCAAAACACAATTTCCACATGCGATCGTGTGTAGCTTTGAAAAAATAATTAAAAAAACCAACTCGGCGCGTGTCCAAATTGTCACCGTCCATGTACATTTCGAACTAATGTAATAGTTTCTAATCGTCCTCGATGGTCACCGTACAAGAAAACCCTGCTCAATCCTGCTCAGCCCGCGCGCTGGAGGTCAGACGATCTCTCCAGCTTATACGAACTTTAGACAGGGTTGAGTTTGCGCAGAAAGAACCAAAAAAAAAGCTGTCAGTGACAGTAGTAATGATTAATTTGAAATGAAGACAACAGAAAAAAAGAAACAAATAATATAGATGACTAAAACCTAGAACATAACCAAAATAGCTTTGTGAGACGCATAAATTGGGTTCAGCTGCGACCGGAACCGTGGTTTACGTCGTCAGCACTGAGACACCCTCCTCTCACAAACTAAGGAGGGAGATGGTGTGCTGATGCTATAGGTGCTGCAGCTAACAGAGACTATCTAGACAATAAAGAAGCAAAGGAAATAGAACAAAACAACTGAAAACGAGGAGAGAGAGAATAAAAAGACAGAGAGAGATGAGGGCTAAGAGAAACGGCGGGCCGCCCTATGATCTGCGTCTCTGGCAACACATACGCACACATACACACAACGATTCTGTTCCTCCTCCTCCTCCATACTATGCCTAGACCTACAGAGTGCCAGCTACTGCTGTGAAGGAAGCTGATTGAAGCTGTATCTGCGACGACAACTACTTCTGCAGCTAGTTCTGTTGCAGCTGACTTATTGTATATCTGGCCATTCTCATTCTCCTTTCATTCAAATGTGAGGCATGGAAGAGCAGCAAATAGGCAGCACAATGTCGTAATCATAGAAATGGAAGGTAAAACAGCCAAAACGCCAGCATAAAGACAACAAGTAATGGCAATGATAAAAAGAATAAGGAATGCATTTAGTTCAAAATACGAAAAATGCAGACTACAGATAAGGAAAGGTTTAATGAGAATAAGAAACAACCGAAACACAAAGAAAGTTGGAAGTCAGTAATGAAACAACCGTTCCCGAGAGAATCAAAGCCGAAAATAAAAATGCGTAAAACACGTGAAATCACGTAACGCCTTTTTTTAATTTTACGAACAAGTAATCAAAAGTAATTGCAGAAATACCAGCCACAGGGAAGAATGATGTAACGTAAAGTTACTCTTTCAAACCTGATCATCAATTGTTTGATGATGAAAAAATTGAAGATAATCTTCAAGTTCATGAAAAAAAGAAACAAAGCCGATATTTCCGATGAACTTATGGGAAGTTGTGTTTATTAACAGCGACATGTTGCAATCGATTGGAAAATGAAGTGAAAAAAAGAGAGAGAGAGAGGTCTATATCGATGTGACAAAGAATTGTTTTTATTTACCTGCCCTTAAAGGCGCGAAAGTAGGGTCAAAGATAAAACGAAAAAAAGAGAAAACTTCTTATGTTTTCACAATTCTTTCTTTGGTTTCCCAAAATTGTTTCCAATAGCTACATTTATGACTGTGGCTCGGGGTCATATTATAATCACGAGGTCCTAAACTGGGAAAGACGGAGAGAAGTGAGAGAGAATAATTGAAAACGAAAGACACAAAAAAGACTATCAAAACGGAATAAAGGAGACACCAACCCGACATAATTTCAATTTCATTCATTTTGTGATTAATTATCTTTACCAACCCAAGCTCTTCACCAATACTCACTCACAATACAGTAGTGACGCTTCCTTCTCTCATCCAGTCCAATTTCCTATTTTTTATTATAATGGAAGCAAAACACTTACCTGGTTCAGCTTCATTACCCGAAGTAGACATAATTTAATACACATGAGGCCAGCTAAAACCTAGATTGTTATCCCGTAGAGTAGAGTGGTGACTGCAACTAACGGCGCTGTTAGCTCGGATTGACAAATCGTGAGTCTCGGGACACTGAGGCAAGAATTTTACTGTGTTTTTGCAATATTTAGGACTTTCATATCTTCGAAACATGGCGCAGGTTAGGGGAATTGTTGACAACAAGTGGCAAAAATGCTTGAGCAACTACAATTATTCGGAAAAATCGCATCAATGTGAAAAATATTGTTACTCAGCGTAGTGACATTTCATGTCAACGAATTCCCCAAAAAAGGATATAACTGGCAGTAAGGTGAAAAGCGAAAGTGATCTAGCATTGCAATCAAATGTTACTATAGACAATATGAATGAAATGAGGAAAAAAGAACGAAAACATTCGAATTCAAGTCAAATATTTGATTGAATTTTCAAAAAAATTCCATCGTCGTAGCGCCAATGTCTAACTCAATTGAAGAAATAAAGCAAGAAACATGGAATTGTTAGTCATGAAAATCAGAAGTGTTTATGATTGGCCTCTTGAAGACACTCAGAAAAGCTCAAAAACAATTCACTCATTAGCTTGGTGATTTCCAATGCCATTTTGGGGAAAATGAAGGCGACAAGTTAGTCTCGTTGCCTTCATCGTAAACCGAACACTCTGTGTCGACCGCATATATACCCGAACACGGCTTGAAAGGCACGCAGCGTGTGACGATTTAAAAACAGGCCCCCCAAAAAAGGAAAACAGCAGAAAAGAATTTACACTGCTAGCCGTCACCTGGTCGGAAGGTTTCCGAAGTTTGGAGAAAAAGCCACGAATTCCTCCGCCGCCTCCACCGCTTGAAGGTCGCGTTGCCGAACTCATGTTGCCTCTCTCGCGTGCTACTGTCTGTCCGGTGGTGGATATCCTCTCGGGGGACAACGGTCTGCAATGGTATAGCTTCGAAATGTGTAGTTGAAAGTTATAGAACGGCTGAGAATATGAAAGACATGAATAAAGACAAAGAAAAGACTCGAGCTGAGTTAATGACGACGGAAAGAGTGAACGAATCGGAAACGGAAAATTAAATTTTCTTCCGGTGCAAAGGACAGATTTGTCACCAGAATTTGGGATTGTAGTAACAAATCAGAAGGTCAGAAATGGCACGATAATTATGATTTCATTGTCAGTGATTATCAAAACATTTCTAAGTTGAATGTTACATCGGTATGGCAAAAACTGAGACAACTATGGGAGAAAAGACTTTTTCAATAAGTTCTTCAGATATGTAAGCGGGTGAACGCTCTGAAAGAATCGAGAAAACACAAATTTAATAACTTTAATTTGTCAGACTTGAAGTTAAAAGCTGGAAAACATTTTGAAATTACATGAGAATCGTTCATCCATCCTGAAAAGAACATACATGAGGAAGCAACATTTTTCAAGAAAATAACCATAAGAGGACTAAGTGTCATATGCACTTCGGATATCATGCAGTTTCAAGAACTCGATAAACGCCGCTTGATCCGATGGACTTATTAAATGACGAAATTCTGAAAAGAAAGAAAACACTCTTCTGTTTTTCTCAAAAAATAAACAAAAAGATTGGCACTTCACGTTATTTTCAAGAGCACATATACACCAAAAGTTAGAGAAAGATACTTACTGTACATGAGATGGCGTCTATGAGTTCCGAGTAGCTCCATCCATTTGTATGCCAACTCCGCAATTGGCAAGTCAGAGTTATTTTTTCTATTCAGCAACAATGCAAACTGCTTAATTTCGTCCACGGATAGACTCTCGTTGAGCTGAAAGAAATGAAACTTGCAATGAAATAGCCTCTGCACGAAGGATAAATGGATGATTGAGAAGTGCAAATTCAAGAAAGAAGAATGTAATTGAGGCAAGGACTCGGAGCCCCGGAATAGTAGTATGTCTAGGTATGAAAAAATTCAAGATTGAAAAAGTTCAACCTTACTGCCTTCAAATGGTTTTAGCGATGACAAAGAAAATAGATGATGAGGGCGATGATGGTGATGATGAGCCTGCTGATGGGCGACGGTGATGATGAATCCCGAGAGAAAGAAGAGATGGGTAGAGGAATAAGGGGGGTAGTGAGAAAGTGTGGACACAAATGAAATATGGAGAAAAGAAGAGGACGGCTGAGAGGAGAAAGAATTGGAGAAGCGCGAAAATTCAAAAAAGATGGGATGCCTATACATGTTACTTCTCAAGTAAGGGTGAGGAAATCGACAATGAAATTTGACCGAAGACGGCTCTGGCTCGAATTAAGGCCACAGGAGGTCGATGAAAAGCGAGCAGAAGAGGCTTTTATAACTGAGCACAAAGACAAGAGACAACAGGCTATTCATGAAAGGAGTAGCATCTCTAACAGGCTTATGCTAGTTTCATTGCACAGCTCAGTAGTTTATATAGATAAAAGCTTCCTCTAGTGTAGCCTGCTAAATCACTCGAACAATGAAGAACATCAAACCAAAAAGGAAAAAATATCGTCGATGTTTACAAGCTTATCAACTGAAATTTTGAGATGCGAAAACGTAAAATATGCATAGTCGTCGTTGTTTGTAGTCACAGCACGTACGATGCATTTGAAAGTATTCAGGCAAAAAACTGTAATTTTGATAAAATTCACGAACTTATTCAAAATCGACACGGGGAGAGATTGGCAAAATGGGAAAATAGCAGTTAATATGAAAGTTATAAGGCTACTATTCGAACAATGCGAGAGAAGAAGGTCATGAAGAAAAATCAGCGAAAGCAGTTGCTTTATGAGATAATTGGATAAAAGATAAGAGGGAAGAGATGAAAATTAATCAATAGACATCGACAAACTCTAGTCCATCATTCAAGGTTCGATGGCAGAAGGCTCAGCAACAAAATAGCGTTTGAGAAAAGGAAGTCATAATTGTCTTTTTTGAAGCTATGAAGACGAGGAGGCTGAAAAGAACGGGGCTTATACACTGCTACATCAAAAAAATAATCCGCACAACACCATGGAAACGAATTGTTCGCAAATAGCAACACAGCATTCAAAAGAATACTTCAAGAGAAAACATATGGATGATAAAACCAATTCAGTCTTCCATCACGAATCGAAAAACCTTTCGTGAGAAAAAACTGAAGAAGCTCTGTTGATGAGAAAAAAATCGAATGCCCACTTCAATACTGGACTTCATTCAGAAAGTTATTCGGGAAGGTTAGACGAAGAGTAAAGGAACAAGGAACAAGAACCAAATGATATTCGGGATATGGATAAAATCGCCTAACTGAGTAAAGTCCATAGAAGGAAATAGTAGTAAGCAGCAGCGAGCCGCTTAAGGGCAAACCCCGGAACCTCTGAGGATAAGATAATGACGATATATATAGATATATATGTACATATATATGAAACATTGACGAAGATAACGAAGAAGTAATAGACTTCACGAATCGATAAACAGCTACAAACTAAAATGGAATTAGCATCATAAATAGAGTGGCGGAAGAAGCCAACAAGAGAGAGGGAAAGCTAGAGAGTGACGAGAGGAGAACGAAGAAAAAAGCTCATTCTGAGACGCTTGGTTCCTAATTCACAGATCAAAGAGCATAAATGGCAAGAGATGCAGTTGAGCCTCTAAGTAGAGTCTTAACGTTAAGGATGATAATAATTAAAACTTGTGGTAAGACGAAGAGAGCGAACGACGGACGAGAAGCCCATATTGCAAGAAGAAAAATGGGCGAGAGGAAACTGTTTGAAGATGTGTTTCCCGACTTTAGGTATGCATGAGATCGAAATTAAGTGTAGAATTATACAAGGAAGAGGAATGAAAATAAAAAAAAGTGACACTGACCATTCGAAGAAACTCGTTGCCTTCAGCTGAAGAGTCACTAGCTGTATAAATTGATGTGGAAGTGTTCTGAGTAGCTGCAGAAGCCAAAGCCGGAAGGGCATGTCTAAAAAGCAAATGTTCAAGATTGGGTTCACAACTGACAAACAAATGAATAGATGAGAAAATTGAATGATATGTGATGGATTATAGAAGTAAACTAACGTTGAAGTTCTGTTTAGTTGTAGCGAATGACTGGAGGACGGAGAACCTGAAATGAAGGAAATAAGTCAAAAGCCTAACAAGGACAGTAGGGAGAGTGAGCTTGTTATGATAGGATGATAAAATCTTTGAAAGCGAGAAATAGCTTAATGAGACAACCCAAGATCTCTACTCCATGGTTACTTGATCAAGCTTCTGACCGTGGTTTTTTCGTTTTAGAAAATTCCAACAACACCTATTGTAAACATAATATTACAACAAAGAATCAAAATAGTAGTAAGAGCAGCTGACAGAAGAAGCTGTGAAATCAAAAATTTCGATAATAATAAAAAAAAGGAAAGTTGCTGCTGGAAAGTATATAAACATTTTCTTAATTAGCCGAAGAATAGGGGGGAGGAAGTGTGTGAACTGGATGAAAGGAAGGAAAGCTGATATGGAGGATGGACCTCTTCAAATAGTAATTACTAATCCCGAAATTAGACTGAGGATCTGATGCAGAAAGATGGAAGGAGAAGATAATTACCTGCACTTCGCAAACAAGGTTTCATTGCAAACTCTCTATATGTAACTTGAAAACGGGCATTCAATGATTGACAGAGATCATTAGCGGCCTTCTGAATAGGAGAATAAAAGATAGGAATCTTGAACAAGTACTGTGAAAAGTTGAACAAACATATAAAAAAAGCAATACCTTGCTAGGGAGCAGTAACACTGCAATATCCCGATTCTGTTGGCAGGTCGGATAATCATTTGAGGCAATATTTACTGCGATCACATGAATGTCTTCGTCCTCGATGTAACCAACGGAAGCAATAATATGAAGAGGGATAGAAAGATGTTGGGACTGAAATATTAATAGCTTTCAATCGAACAACATTCAAAACTATATGTCATTATCAAAAAATACTTCGCAAGCATATGCATGAACGAGTAGGTGACTAAATGAGGCGAAAAGTAGAAGTCGATCAAAGCAAAACTTGGGCTAGTTTAATGCGATTAATAAACAACACACTAGCATAGTTTATAAACAAACTTCTTAAATGCCCAGCGCGTCCGAGGATTTTGATCCCAATCAGCGCACTTCACTAGGGAATTAAGTGGAAACTATGACTTTCAATTTTGAAACATCACACACACACACGAAAGGACTGGAGCGCAAATTGCGTAGCGCTTTTTATGTTTTGATGAGTGTGTGGTCATTTTTGATGTTTCCGTAGTCTGATAAGAAGATAAGCGTTCAACTGAAAACGATTGAATTTTATTAGCATTAACGGTCTTTAACGCATGAAAGTACTATAAAGCACATGAAAGTAAATTTCGTATTTTGAAAGTGGCGAAATGAACTTCAGAACAATAATTATGAATTCAAGGTCTAAAAGGAAACGATATTAATTACTATTGTGTTGCAAATAGGTGATTTCTTCAAAACAAAATAATGATAAAATGAAACTGGAGCGTATGATTATTGAGCCGATGTTTCGATATCACTCTTTCATTTTTGACAAAAGAAAAGGAATGATCGGTTGTTTTCGATTCTTACTCCAGCTTCATCATCGCCCAGATTGGTCGCATTCGTTCATGCAAATGTCAAAAAACAACATAAGACTATCATATTTAGATTCGGCTGACATAAATAAGAAACATCATGTCAAAAGATGGAAAACAAGGTCAGGTTTGTTTCATAAAAAAACCTGTCACCTGCTTCACTTGGCACCCACCCCACAAATCAAGATGAGTGAAAGAAAATGAGAAGAATAAAGAAAATTCACCAACTGGAATAGTACCAACCTGTGTATATTTTTCAATAACTTCAATATGGTATTGTTTGATAGCGATCTGATGCCGCCCTATTCTTTGATTGCAATCCTTTAGCTTACTGATTACTCCATCTTCCTGAAGAGGGATCATTGAACGCACTTCGCACACACTAACCTGAGCTTTATCTAAAGTCTTCAGCAACTCCGTTCTTCCACATGGGTCAGAAAAGTTTGTGTTTCTAACGATTCCGGCATACTGAAAGAGTAGGTAGTAAGAGATCACACGAGGGACAATCAGGTGAGGTACGACAAGCAGTGAAGGAGAAAAGGGTTATAGAGAAACAGTGAGTTTATTCACTTTGAATTAATAATTAACAAGATATCTGTTTGTTGCTTCGTGGGAAAAAACAGAAACATATCACATCTGGAAAAAAGAGAGAACTATGAAATGGAAAAGGTTCTTTCTCACTCAAGTTTCCAGATAAGTGGTGAGCCACTTCATAAACTTTCAGCTATCGATTTTTAATCAGAAAAAAACAAATAAAGATTGGTGACTAGCATGGCAGAAAAATACTGTAGGAAATGAGAGCAGTGATCGTTATACAGAAAGGGAGACAAGGGTGAGAAAAAAGTTCTACTGAATTAAGGTAAACAACGTTTCAAAAGAAATTACCCCAACATCGAACACGTTTTCTACAGAAGTCAAAGACATGCAGCTTTCTACTGAAATAACTTAATTGTAGTGAGAATACTGCAAGTTTGTAAAGATGCCGTTAATGAAACATCGATGAGAAGTATTTGCAGGTGAGCGTAAGAAAAGGGAAAGAGAAATCTGTGCAAACGGACAGTGAGTTTGTGGTGACACGAAAATCAATACTGTGAAACTGAATTGACGACGAGTCTAGAGATACCGTTTGAATTAGATAATAGGTTGACAAGGACACCACCACACATAATCGTAATAACATTTGACACAAGATTCTTGCAGCTGCGATATAAGCTTTTCATAAATGAGTGAGCGATTGAAAAAAAGCTTCTATTGGTGCAAGCAGCTTATTGGTAAACAATGAGAAGTGACAAGGGAATATATACATTGTGTGGGAAAATCATCGCCAATAAAAGGATTAGATCATCATTTTTGTATTGATATCATTTTCAGAGAGCATCAAAAACCATGTGGATACCTGAAGAATAGTTTTGCTTCTGTTCGTCAATAGAACAATAGCCAGAGCCGAAGCATTTTATTGTGGCAGGTTTATGACCTTTGCTGGAAAGAGAATTCAGCAATCAGTTTGATAAATAAATGAAAAAAAGAAAAATAAGATTATGATTAATGATTACGAGACATGAAGAGGACTGATATCCACATGCACTGATAAGCACATGGAATTGCATAATGTATGAATTAAGTTGAGATGGCTAAGCTAGTTGTCGCGTAAAAAAACACAGCGAACCACTAAAAATGAGATAAAACACGAAAAAAGAAATGTGATGACTGATGAATTTAGTGAAATGGAAAAAATAGAAATGGAGAGTAGAAAAAAGAGAAAAGGGAAGTGATGAGGATGACGAGGAATGCAACCGCTCAATAGAGAAAAATAAATGAAATGATCGAAAGCTAAGTAAAGCTACACGCATTACAGATATGCTAATTAACAATAAGACAACATCAATATCTCAAACACGTAGCATGTCGATAACAACAAACACTGGATCAACCAGGTGATTTAATTTGCTTTTTCTTCCAAAAAAAAATCAATAATAGTGGTTGCGAAAAACTGCCAACCATTGCGCTACTCGATTTTAAGAATACGGCAAAGTCAATGTGATTGCGCAGCAAGGATGTTGATCGCCGTGGGACGTCGCCGAAAAAGGGAAAGACTACTCGATTCTTATTTTACCTGATAAGTGTTTGCGGAATTTGAATTAGATTTTTCAAAAGATATGATTGTTAGAATGAAGTAATGAAACTAATAGATAAGATGAAATTTCATTAAACATTTCATTTCATATTGAAAGTATAATTATTTGAGCTAGCAGGCTTGAAGAATAGAAAAATGAGAATCAGTTAGCAAAAAACGTGATGGAATGCCTCGAATAGAGACCGTATGGTTTTGCGAAAGAGTGCTTTTGCCAACATATATGCAGTTTCGTTGAAAGAAAGCCATCTTAAAAATATTTTCATTTTTAGAAATTGAGAAATGAGACTATTCGTGTTTGCTAAGGCTTGCAAAAGAGAGAGAAAAAAAAAGAAAAAATATTGCAGATCAGTTTGATAAAATTCGTCAATGGTCCAATACGTTATCTGATATTTGAATCAAGAAATCCTATGTACTGAGAGAATTTCAGTACGCAACACACCAACACACCAACACACACACATCACACACACACACACACATTCATTTATCTGGAAAAGAAAGTAAATAAACAAAAAATATTATGATTAGAAGTTGTGTTCAGAGAAAATTTTTATTTATTTTCGTCACAACGACTGGTTTTGAAGAAAATATAAAAGTTGCAAATGATTATAACGATCCATCTATCCTCGCAGGTTATTGATTTTTTCCAAACATGCTATCTCTGTTCAATATCATCCGATATGGAGGATAAGGGAAAAGATGCAGAGGAAAACATATTGAATTTAAAATGACAGTTCCAAATGACTAACAGCTGAACACTAGATCATCCTTCTTTATTTTGCAAAGCTTTTTCATTTTTTTCTTCTTGGGTTTTAATGAAGTGTGAACTGTTTATTTGCACATCAAAATATAACATCTCTGTCAGCAAATATGTATATTATTAATTTTAATAATCCTTCTGAGAAATTATTAAACCGATATTTTCTTGAAAATGCACAGATCTAATGTCTTCGTTACACCAAGTTTTTTTTACATGCAAACCACCGCAGGCCATTTGCGGTCGCTCAAGAATAATATTTGAATAGAGAAAGAAAATTAAATAGTATTTAACCAAATATTATTAAATTATATATAAATTTCTCATTTCGATTGTGAGGAAGATGAGAGGTGGGAAGTATGTCGACGAACCGAGGGAAAATGTGCAGATGTAGGTGGATTTACTTTCAAAAGAGCTGATTTTCTGACATTGTTTGCCTAAAATTGGCAGATGCAGGAAATTTTTTCTGAAGAAATAAATTTAAGGAGAGCTGCCGGGAGCTTTGTAGATAACAAACACAGCTGTTTCCCTTGATGGCGTACAAAGTAAGAAAATCAGAACAGAAGCTTATTTCTGAGAGCAAATAGCCAATAAAAAGTCAAAAACTGAGAAAATATTGGATATCGTGATGAGATGCTGAATTTGTATGTGTACTCAGAAGAGAAAAAACAAAAATCTGGATGAAACAAAATTTTTCGTTCAAAGAGTTTGTTGAACACGTAGTTTGGACGGTGGTGGATCTTTTTTGAATAGGAACAATTGAAAGCATGGGATCTTTCGAAAAAAGTGGAATTGTATAGTTGACATAACATTTTTTTCTATTTCACAAAGCATTATTTGGTTATTATCAAGCTCACAATGTAATAATTGGAAAAGAAGCCAAATATACATTTCTACGATTCCATTTCGAGCTGCTGCAAAGTCTTGACTTTACAACAGCTCCTTGAAAAATAGCTTTCTGCCATGCTTATTTTCCCATATTTAGGCATGTTTTCTTTTGACTTTGTCAATCATTGCAAGCAAACCAAATGGGGAGATAGAAAGAGGAGAGCTATGTGATGATTGTGTGTATATGTGTGGAAGTAAAAAGAAGTTGTCCACAACTGGTATCAGCCAAAGTAAATGAAAGTAAAACGAAAAACAGAGCTACAACACAACAAAACAGCTTGAAAATTGAAGAGGAAAAAAAATTATGGGATCGGGAGATCAGTAAAGTTCCTTATACGGAAAAAGGAGATGTTGTGGTGCCGGAGCCTGCGGCGGCTGCCCTTGAAAGTCGGTTGGAATTGGACGATAGTCGTAGCATCTGAAGTTGACGAATGGCAGCAGCAGCATTGTAAGCCTAGAAGAAAGAAAATGTTATTTTTCCTTTTCTTTGGAAAAGAAAATTCTGAAATTTGATATTATATCGTTTTTGCGCAATCTTTTGTTCAGACGTACACGTTAGTGAACGACGAGAGAAATGTTTTTTTTCGCTTTACAAAATGAAACAAAAGATTGCAAAATGACATAGAAAATGGCAATCTTTTGCTTGTCACAGTGGTAATAAATAAACAAACAGGAAAAAATATGAACCTTTTTCCAATTTCTTTTGGCCAGACTCTTTTTCAAATGCGATGCCACAGAGCCATGAATATCTGTCGTGTACGCGGTATTTCCACTTATCCTGAAAATGAAGTATGCTGAGGAAGACTACTATTACTTCACATACCATGGGTGAGATAAACCTTGTGCACAAGAATACCTCTGCTCTGGATCGCAGCACATTAGATGCGAAATGAAATCTTTTGCTAAAAATTGATGAATTAAGAGAAAGTGAGAGCAAATTGAAACCTGAATCTGAAATTTGATCCCAGTAAGGAGCGTCGAACTCGTACTCCCCTTTGATTATTTGCTGGAATAAGTTTGCATCACTTTCATCGTAGAATGGTGGGTATCTGTAATGTCTTTTTATTACCAAGGTATGCTCATATCATCACGTACCCGCACAAAAGAATATAAGCTATAACTCCAATTGACCATACATCAACAGCTTTTCCGTAAGGTTTCTGTTGCAGAACTTCTGGAGCAACATATCCAGGAGTGCCACAAGCTGTGGCCATCACTCCAGAATCCTCAGTTTTAGATAAGCCGAAATCAGAAATCATAATTTTGGATTCCTATAACCAAAGTTTATTAAAAACACCAGATGACTTAAGCAATTGCTCGTGACACAGACCATTGTTCCACTAACCTCATCTTGATTATAATACAAAAGATTCTCTGGCTTCAAATCTCGATGAACAACTCCGTTATCATGCATAAAAGCAACAGCTTGTAAAACCTGTAAACGAAAGAAGAATTAAATTAATTTGAACAAATTCTAACTTGTTTGATAAGAACACTAGCATCTTTTTCTGTATAAGATCCTTTCGCAACAATTCTATCAAATAATTCTCCGCCAGTAACTAGTTCCATAACCAAATAAACATATCCCTTTTCATCAAATGTATCATAAAGATGTACAATATTCGGATGACGTAATCTGTAAATGTAAAATATGAAACACTTCATCCTCTCTCAGAAGTATGAATTCATAAATAATATCTCAAAGTACCAAGGGGTTCAATGCGAGAGCTCAACTCTTCTTCACTTATGCTCTAACCTTCGCTTTCTGTTTTCCTCCTCAGACCCCCATTTTTTTTGTAAAACACAGCAATTTTTTTCGGAAACTCAGAAATATCTAGAGAGCAATAAAAAAAAATAGAGCTTAGCCAGCTATATACGACCTTAGCGATCTCTATAGGACGTCGTTCTCTCTCTATCGAGAAGTTACTTGAAGAACATCAAATTCAAACTCGTTGAAGCAAAGCGAAGAATCACGAAACATAGCCCACGGGGTGAACTTTGCATTATGATCAAACGAAAGTATAATCAACAACTATCAAATATATTTTTTGAATGGTTTGTTTAAAGTTCATAATTTATAACCCAAAGCATCAAGGACCGAACACCTTTTCTGCAAAAAGTTTTGAAAATTATATGATGTCACGGCAATATCTATTCTATATCACTTCGTGCTTCATGAATTAATAATGTTCTCAAAAATCGAAACATGATGACGAACAAAGCTATTTTATACTTCGTCAATCTTTGTCATAAATTTCAGCTGATAATAATTAATATATTTGATAAGCAGCATTCCCCCTCAGTTGAGTCTCAAAATAAACTCTGCTGGCCCGTTCATTAGCATACGTCCGACTAGTTAACGAGGTAGGTCACGTGTTTCACGTGGGATCATTTTGATTAAATCAAGCGCACAAATTGGTTGACATCACACAAATGAACAAAAATATAAAAAAAGGGTCCAAACGTATTCGATTGGAGCAAGAGTTCATTTCATAACTAAGATACAAACTACACAAGATCCATCAGACTAAAGTATATACTTTAATGAACTTGAAACGACTTCGGCAAAAACAAATGTTCAGAAAAAAAATTAATAAAAAACTACATTGATTCCCTTTTACATCTTCAAGTATAGAGAAAGTGCGATTCATGGTTTCAAATTCATGAATGTATTTGAAAACTATAAAAATTTAATTTTATATAGTAAACGTAGGCAATGTGAAAGAAAAAGTATCGTCAATTCGAAAATAGATGGACAAAGGCCAAAGTAAGTTTTCCTTATTTCGCTTTTCATGTTCATCGACCGATAGGAAATAGGTTTCTCGTAGAATAGACTTTCATCCTTTCTTCATCGCTCCAAGTTCTCAATGAGCAAGCACATCGAGAACCGACATGTTCAGTTATATTTTTTTATTTTCCCTCTTTATCAACGGAGTAGAGTAAAACAGATTGGTTTTCACAAATCTGTTATAGCTTAAATCATGGGTAGATTCAAAAGTCAGTTTGATTGAAAAGTTCTTTTTCACTTGAAATTCTGAACGAAGATGAAAAGCGAAAGAGGGTTTCAAAGACTTCCATTGAATTGAAGAAAATGGATAATCATACTAATGGATTCTTGATGTATAGATCTCCGGAGGCTTTATGGCGATTTTAAACTTTCTCTCTCTTTTAATTTTTCAAGACACAATTAGAAATTGAAAGTAGTACGTATCATGAATATCGGATGAAGAGAGATTTCCCAATCTATTCAAGACGTACATGATTATCAATCATTTTCCCTTGAAAGATAATCCTTGTTAATAAATAAAAACAGAAAATGGCCCGAAACGAGAAGGACTGAAAGAATGAGAGAGAGAGCCAGACGTCATCTGACTTCAAATGCATGAAGATAAGACTCGAGGAAATGCCATCGAGCTTTATCTCCTTTACTTCTGTTCTTACAGCAACAATCAATTTCATATGACTCCAGTTTATAACTCGTTCTACATAAAGCTTAATCCGTTTTCTCCCACTCACAATCGTTCTCAATGACCAACATGCAGAAATATGAAAAACATCTTCGTCAAATAATTCGACAGAAAGCATTTTTCTTCCCCACGATTACAACTGAAAAACGGTATCACAACTTTCCGGTTTTCAGTACTCGTAATCAAATTCATAGCCAAACTATTGGCATGGAATTGGTTATACAAATATGGAAAACTGCTGTCAGCTACTAGAATTTAGTAACAGAAATTAAATAACATGTAACCAACATTTCTCGTTGTGTTTATAAAAAGTTATGAATGAATCCACGAGGTCTCACATATGCATACGTTTTTTTGTCAAAAAACAACAGACTCACTTTCTTAGAACTTTGATTTCATTCTCCAACTGTTCTTCTTTGCCCTTTAGAGCTTTCTTATCGATACATTTGATGGCTACCAATTGACCAGGTTCAATTTTATTTTCAGCAAGAAAAACCTGAAAGAGTAAAAATGAATTTCCATTCAGACTTCACAGAATTTGTAATATGATTGTTACATTTTCCTTCAAACACAAAATGTTTTCGCTATGCTCTTATTCCTTTATCTTATAAAATTAGTCAAAAGTTGAAAATAAAAGAGACAAATTGACTGAAGCCTAGTCTGGCATTAATTAAAATTGAAAACTTACCTTAGAGAAGGCACCGGTTCCCAGAACATCACGAAATTCGTATTTATCCCGGATCGAACCACTTTCTCTTCGCTTGAACAACGGCATCTGGTCGTTAAAGGCCTTCTCATCGATCCCATACGCTTGCCTCCTCTCCCGCCCTCTTCAGTCCTTTTACTCTCTCCCTTTCTGGGCGTCTGACACTCTCTAGATTACTGATAATCTATGTGTATGCTCTGGCTGAGCAGCAATGATATTGGCCATGTATGGGCTGTCCCTATGCGAAGTCTCTAGACAACTCATGAGATGTCTGACTTCTCTACAAAATGTAGATACTCTCTCATATGCTTGATCTCCATAATTCTCTTTTGAATGCATAATCTCTACTTATTGTTTCTGCATGTACCGTTGTTTCTCAGCTGACATGTCTGTTAGTCTCCTCCCACCTTTCTCGTGTGTAGGATCTGTGAATTCTAATATTTTATATATTTTTCATATCTAATGTATTATGCCGAGATATCAGATTTGGTTGTTGAGGTAAATTAAGTAATGCGCACAACCACTGGGCTTTCATATATCTATCAAGCAGCTTTAATTAGTCGGATGATGACGGAATGATCCGATCAAGTTAATAAATTACACTGATATATTATAAATGACAAGCTCTACCTTTATTGGAAAATTAGTATAATGTCAAGAAACTAATTGAATGAAACCTTTTTTTGTTATGATTGTCTTTGGATATGTTTGAATGTATCGTCTAGCCCCTAGATATACATGAAGACATAATTTCTACTATTCAGCCTATTAGGATTTGAATTTTGGATTAGCATCGTTTAGAAGAAGCTGATCGAATATCCATATGAGCAGGCCAAATTATGATTTCCCACTGATACCGCTATTCTTCTAGTATACGTTGACAATCGTATAGCTGAAGCAAAACTAAATAAAGAAAAAGTGATTAAAAAGAGAAAGCAAAGAAATTGGAATTCGGGAAGAGTAGGGTTAACGATCTGAGTTAAATGATGTTTAAAGAACTACAGACAAGCCAATGCCAATTATCCTTATCTCTTCTCCTTTTCTTGGCTCTGCTGGTAATTCCAGACCGATGAGAATAATGGAAACAGCAGAGCAGTTGAAAAATTTTCTAACTTGTCATCAAAAAAACATTCTATGTTCACAAATGAGAGAGGGAAAATTATAATTATATATTTCAACAAGATATGCTCAACTGCATTCAAAATACATGAGAACTGAAGAAGGAGAAGAAGAAATGTTTATGCAACTAATGGCCCTCCTACGGATTTCCGCAAAAGTTTTTTCTTGTCTTATCCATCATTCACTTGAAGATATGCAACAATCATCTCCATATACATACACTTACATACATATTCATACATTTTGTGAATAACGAGTCATACCAAGTTGTTAGATGATTTTCATTTTATATTATACTTACTGAACTATTCAGCTTTCATCATACTATATTCCATTTCACAATATTCATCAGACCTCGTGTCAACAACTTCGATAACTATTGCTTGATAAATACAAGATTACTTAATTCTCTTTTCTTTTTGTTTTTTATTATTGATCCGTTTTTGTGTTGTCTCCTACTAATCCTTCCTCACATATTACTATTTATAAAGAATGCGATCTACATGATCTTTAGTTTTACTCAGCCAATTGGGTTATGTAATTAATATGATCGAAAAAACATGTCATTTGCATATGTTATGCTAATCATATCTACGTGGCTCAATGGAACAAAACAGTTACTATACTACACTGTGCATGTGAATCTATGTGTGTGTGTATGTTCAGGGCGGTTAGCATTCCTTTCACTTCCTTCATATTTTCAGTTAAATGAGCATTAAGTCTTCAGTTTATTATTCTTCTTTTCAAATTTCATGAATTGTTGGAGGATTAGACTGAATTGTTAAAATCAACCTCATTCAAAATTATTGGATAATACTCTTTTTATTGGCTTATTTCTTTGATGTTTTTTTGAATCGTAACCGACATGTCTATTCCATGAGCATTGTTGAGATCGATATAAATGTTATGCGGAAGTCCATTTGAAAAAACAATCTGAACAAATGTATTCTCGAATATTAAAGAAATTATTCCAAGAGATGAACGGAAACAAGCAAATACATGTTCGTATTATGGATCAATTGGAGGCTATTACATGTTCAAAGTATAGATGTAGTTTAGTCAATAATATTGTTTATAAGTTTTCTACTCATAACTTCTTCGTTCCGACCAAATCAGCATTCTATTTTGAATGATGGCTGTTGTTCAAGCATTCATATAACAACAAGCTGCACATCTTTATAATGAACTTCTATTTAAGTAACATCGGTTAGCCAAAATCATCAAGGAACGTGACTCATATGTGAAAGCAACTTCGGGAGAATAGTTTAGAATGTTTTAATGACATGTCGCTTTAGAAGCTTATTACAGACAATGATGTACATACAACATATATAATAAAAATTGTGAAAGAGACACCCGCATTGCCCCCAAATTATTGTCTACTACGACAGCGGTGGAGCAGAAGGCGACACAAGCACCAGGACGACGACTGCGAAAAGCCGAAACTTATCGACTAAGTAATCAGCCAAGATATTTGAGCCTTTGGCTACTTGGCGTTTATCGTCTGGTGCCATCTTCGAAAAAGACTCCACCATCCAATGCGCAATACTTGGGACATATGCCACGTTCTCCTTGAGGTCCTGGTTGACCAGCCAATCCAGGCTTTCCTGCAGGTCCTGGTGGTCCAGCAGCTCCGGGTGGTCCTGATGGTCCTTGTGGTCCTGGTTGTCCTGGTTGTCCGTCGCGACCAGGTTGTCCGTCTGGTCCAGGTAAGCCGGAGGGTCCTATGGAAGAAAAATCTTATTATCATTAGTGAGTAGAACAATACCTGTCTCTCCCGATGGTCCGGGTTCTCCTGGAATAGATGGAGTGGAAATAGCTGGTCTACCGGGTTCTCCCTTCTCTCCTTCATTTCCTGGGTTTCCAGATGGTCCTGATGGCCCGTTTGGTCCTGGGGGACCTGGCTGTCCTGGAGATCCTGGTCTTCCAGGATTACCAGCACGACCTGGGTTTCCTGAGGGTCCAGATGGTCCTTGGGGTCCTGGTGGGCCAGGAGGGCATGGATTACATGGAGGAATATCTAATTCCTGACAAACGATAGGAGGACGTCCTGGAGTTCCCGGTTTACCAGGAGTTCCGGGAACACCAGGTTTACCGTTGCGTCCAGGTTGACCAGGTCGTCCTGGATGTCCGGGCAAGCAACAACCTGAGTGGTAGACATTTAACAAACTTCGAAAGAATCAAATCTCACCCGCACAACCAACAGCTTGTCTTTTCACCCTATTTGTGCCATTGTTAGCAAAAGAACTAAGTGATTGTGGTTTTTGATGTTCGATTTCGCCCATAATATCACGAGCAGTGGTCTGAAACATGTAGACTCATTTTAATCAATCAGATATGTTGAAATTAATGAAAAGATGGAAATTTCAATAAGCTTTCAATTAAGAAAACAATGAGTGTTGAAAAAAAGATGCTAAACCGGTTGGATTTAATAAATGTTTTCTTTCGATTTATGCTTGTTATCTTAACATACGTTCTTATATCAATCTCACACATTTATATCACTGTTCCTATTTGCAGAGCTTATTAATCTATCACTTCATTAATATTATACTTGCTTTTTTTTATTGCTAGAAGCCCCTCATGTTCTGTCTCTCTCCTTTTGAGAGCGTGGCTATTGCTGTTCTATCCGTTCCACTGTTTTGACCAAAACGGGTAAGCCTTTCAACGCTTTGAACAGACAGCCAAATAATGAGAGAAAGAAATCAAAGATGAGGTTGCATGTTGTAGAGGGTGAAAAGAACTTATAACATAGAAAATGACTTCAGTTTTTCGAAGTTGAAAGTAAGAGCAAGGTCTTTGGTGTCAAACGTGTGGTGGATTTTTCAAATGAAACTACTTTCAAACGTAGAACAGCGAAAGTCCAGAGAATAAATCTCCCTCGGTTTTCAACATCTTAAGGGGTAGTTTCGCAACGGTATTTAGAAAACTGTAGTTGAAAATTGAGAAAAACGCACCTTACAGAACATCATATCTCTCTTGGTTTGCTGTTGAACTGTATCCACAAAATTATATACAATCGGCATAGTGATACAAACCGAAAGAATAGCTACAATTGAAAAAGTAACAGCAGCATAGGTTACAGCTTTATAAGCCCTCTCTCGAGGGTCCTCCTCCATTTTTCCGTGTATCTTAAAATACAGAATAATTACTGAAAAATGGACTGAAAATCATCGTAACACAACTTATTAGAATTCTTCAAAAAGCACTAGCAAAACAGTCATAACAAGAAACATAAAATGGGAGACATAACTTATGAACATATATGCCAAAAAATGTACGATTCAATATCTCTATGTTTGAGTTACATTCTTTTAGCTTACAGAGGATGAATATCGGGGATTCACAAAGACCGGACTGTTTTATATAGGAGAAGAAGGCGGCGTACAGTTGACTACCGCCAGCTACGGACGGTCGCGGACGCGGAACGAAGACGCAGCGTCTTCGTCACCTCGCTCCGACATCTTCATCCAGCAAAAGTCCCACGTCCCTTGCTTTACCATGAAACACCCATGGGTAGATATACCTATACACGGCTTTCCTGTTCCTCTTTCCTATCATCTACATTCTTCTCTTTTTAGACTGCAATTTCTGAACCACTAAAAGGGCGTTGGACGAGCATGGCAGTTAAACTCAGTGATAAAAGATGTATGGAACATAATGTAATATCGCCATCAGCGATGAAGAATCATTATCTTGTCGGGTGTTATGATGTATCTTAGTGATGGATAAAAAACAAATACTTCTCTCCGTTTTCATTTCGTTTCAAATTGTCCTCTTGAGAAAAAAAAGATGCGTTTGCCTCACTTGCTATATACAAGGACAGTATTTCAATGTACTTATAAATCATAGGCTGGATTATAATAAGGAAAACTGGAAAAAAGTGAAATTCTTGTAATGTTCACTAGTTCTTAGCATCGCGAAGAATGTGTTCTCCTAGAAGAACAGTAATTTCTAACGATAAGAGGACAAGGGGAACGGAACAACTTTATTCACAAACGTTAGCTCACCTTAGGTGTCTTATAATAACAACCGCTCTAAACGTTTGACCTCTAGAAATGAACGAGTTATGAAAGATTACACGTATTTCACGTATACTCCGTGTAAACAAAAGATGGCGTTCCTTTAAGAAAATTTGGAAGGGCTCTTCCGGAAAAATCATGAACTAAATTATCTTCTAGTTTGAGGAAAGTTGTCGGAAAAGTCAACAGTACATTGAATTGTTCAAGCTGGTTTGCCAAAAGCGATGTTAAAACGTTTCCGTGCTATTCCCAAGCTTGAAATTATCCGCTTATTAACTTGATTTGTTTACGACAAAGTATTTTATTGTAATGTTAGAAAGACAACAATGATATCTTGTCTTGGCTAGGCCCGCCTTGTCCTATGTCGTCATAGGTTCCAGGCTGTCTGGTGAATCTAACAAACTATTCCAATCATTAACACGAATCATCACTAGCTTTTCTTTAGTTTATCTTTCCGACATGAATACCACAAATCAGAACTTTGCTGATAATCATCGATCACATCTCTCACATCAACTATTAATTATAGAAGCTTGTTTCCGCGTAATATTTTTTGAATGTTTGTTGGATAAAAATTGCTGAACTACCTTGCTATCATATGGAACAACAAATATATCATAACCTTAAGCTGTAGGTTGTTCTCTGCTCTGCTTAAAATACAGATCAGAGGTCGCAATTGTTCTTCAACGAGCCAAAGAATAGGAGACTGTTTCATTATCTTATTCAAAACTTCATTAAACGTTTTTTGTTACTTGTTTAGTCACAGGTTTTTGAAAATCAAATCTTCAAATTTATTCATGTAATATTTTTTCTCTAATTATCTCTGGTTGGGCCTAATACAGCCCGAAGAATCATCACCCGTCATCACATTTCTTAGAACTTCAGAGCACTACCTGCTTCATCTATCCAATCGCAGCCTCAATCTCAGAGAAGCGATATGATTGTTTCTTTTTTCTAACTCTTCGACCCACCAGGCAGCGGTCGCATTATCATTCCTAAGAAGTAACGAACGTTATAATTAAAGAAAATATTGACGAACTTATTAAGAATAGCTATCCCTAATATTGTTTCAGCGCTCTGCTCATGAATGGTCCTTTTCTTAGTATGGTTTCTAGACTTCCAATCGGAGAACCAGTTGTCAGATATATCTTTATCCTGCATATCCATAGATAATTCATATAGTTAGAGGAAACATCAACGGGAAACCTCGGAAAAATCCGATACGGACTGTGTTTGCGACGGTGCTGTCAGCATCACATAGTGAAGCACGTGTTCCATCAAGTATACCTTGAACGGTCCATCGACACAGATCTTAAATAAATGAAGAACTATAACTTGTGAAAATAGAAAAGTACGTCAGAATCGGTAGGTAATCGAGATATCAGCTCATTCTGGGACCGACTTTGAGCACTTGCAATCCAATCTGATTGATTCAAACCCTGCTGATAGTCAAAAATCATATTAAAACTGAATGTTATACTTTGTAAAGTGAAAATTGAGTTCCTGGGTCCCTGCAAATAGTCTTCAGAGCTAAACCAGCTAGTTCTTCAGGTGATAACGTTTTCCCTGAAACTGATAATAGATTCAGTCCAGAAAATAGGATAACCTTCGAGATGGCGCCTATCAACATACTTATTAGTATGCTTCAGCTTCGGCATCCAATATATCATACGTTTGACCTGAAATTCTCTGAATGAAACTCCAGTTTTCTCGAGTAACCTTTTTTGTAGCGAAGTTCCATTCTCCGAAAGCGTTAACCACAATATCATGGATTTCTTTATCAGGGCTGACACCTAGAACAAGACAGAATTTCATTTGAAAAAACGCTTGAGTGATCACCATGCCACTCCATTTCATCAAGAACTTTCACGCAGCAGTTCTGTTGCATCGGATAGTGCAAGAAAATTTTCTGAAAGCCCCCAATACTCTGAGACTAAAACAAATGAATACCTGAAAGGTAGTTTGTGGTATCATCTTTCCCTTAGGAAATATATTTAACAATGATTTGTATGTATCTATATCTTTGTGTACTCCATATTCTTTCACGAACTTCAGCGCTGCATTAATAAATTCTACGTGACCTCTAGACTTCTTCTCTTTGAACATATCTATAACATACGTTTCAACTTAATATCATGCTTGATTACACACATATCGCTGCCATGAAAGATTTCTTATTCCTTTCCACATTTGGAACGGATTCGAACTGCTGTTCAATGTGCACCAAGGATAACTGCTCATTTTTCTGTCTCTTAATTAGCTCAGCTCAAGATGGCACAAGATAGCAACAATATTACCTCTGAACTAGCATTCGATGAAGCTTGTCTCCAAACATTAACTCCTAGCACATCTGCTTTTTTCAATATATAAAGCTGTTTACCATATCTAAGCAACATATCTCAAGAAACTGAAAATAAGTAAAGAAATATGATTGGCGTTGAAAAAGTGTTAGCGTAGACCAAGTGCTAGCACGATTTGAGTGTTAGAAAAATTACGGTACCCAAACACGCAACACGACACTGCGTATTTTCGCATACACCTTTATACACTTCAAGCGTCAGATTTACATTTTTCCTAAAGATAGACTGAAATTCAGCGATATTCAGTTGTAATTGGAATTGGATTTTTGTTTGTTTGTGATTATCTTCCTTCCGTATCCTAAGCTTGCTTGTACCAATTGTTTCGAATAACATTATATTAACTTTTTATTCATTTTTGGATTTTTGAGGGTTAAACATGCCAACCAAGGCTCTTGGAGAAACTCTTAGAGAGTACACCGTCATCGGACGCAGACTTCCTACCGAAGCTGAACCAGTGACTCCAATCTGGAAGATGCAAATCTTTGCCAGCAACCACGTTATTGCTAAGTCTCGTTTCTGGTACTTCGTCTCTATGCTTCGTAGAGTCAAGAAGGCTAACGGAGAAATTCTTTCCTGCCAAGAAGTACTGTTTTTATATTAATTTTGTGGTTTACATACTGTTTCTCTTCCAGGTCTTCGAGAAGAAGCCAGGATCCGTCAAGAACTACGGTGTTTGGCTCAAGTACGATTCCCGTACTGGACACCACAACATGTACCGTGAGTACCGTGATGTCACTGTTGCTGGAGCTGTCACTCAAGCCTACCGTGATATGGGAGCTCGCCATCGTGCCCAAGCCGACAGAATCCACATTCTTAAGGTTCAAGTCATCAAGGCTAGCGAGACCAAGAGAGCTGGAATCAAGATGTTCCACGATTCCAAGCTTGCATTCCCACTTCCCCACCGTGTTACCAAGAGAAGAAATGCATCTCTCTTCACCACCGCTAAGCCAAAAACCCACTTTGCTTAAATGTTGTTATTGTTGCACGGATAAATTCTTTGTTGTACTTTTTTTTTTAATTTTTGTCTTCCGCGTTTTCGCGCTGTTCATATCTCGCTCCATTAGCAATCTCTGGCTGTATGCACTCTCTGCATTTCGCCGTGAGACTGCGGACCGCCCGTCATTCGCGGCCTGGTTCATTACGACTTCTGTTTCATTTTTATACTATCATTTCTTTAGCCTCAACATAATGGCCGCTATCCCTGAGGGTGATTACGAAAAAGGAAAGCAGATCTTCAAGCAGAGATGCCTCCAATGCCATGTTGCTGATTCTAAGGCTACCAAGACTGGGCCAACTCTTCATGGAGTTATCGGACGTACTTCCGGAACTGTTCCTGGATTCGACTACTCTGCTGCCAACAAGAGCAAGGTACTGAAGTTTTTGATACATAATTGTTGACATATGCAAAATATAGGGTGTCGTCTGGACCAGAGAAACTCTTTTCGAGTACCTCTTGAACCCCAAGAAGTACATTCCAGGAACTAAGATGGTGTTCGCTGGATTAAAGAAGGCTGACGAACGTGCTCATCTCATTAAATATATGGAGGTTGAATCCGCAAAGCCATGTGCTTAATCTCACAACTCTTGTCTTTTTCTTTGTTGTAGGATTAAATTTTTAAATAACAGAGATTCTAGAATAGTTTTAAATTAGTTAGAGGAACAAGCTGGTGCGCACCTCGAAGAGATTAATGTTAAATGAACTTTGAATAAATTCAAAATTTTTTCTACGAATTGTTAAGTTATAAGTAGGAGTAGTTCTCAATGTTCATTGGTAGACCTGTTGTTTTACCATTACAGAATAGTTGTAAAATTGTTGATAATTGATTCAGACTTTCAAAGCTTTGACGCTACGGTCTGATGTCGGAAGAAAGGAAGCATGTGGGTTTGAACTGAAAGGTAATGTTTCCATGACGTTGACGACTTGAGAGTTTCGCTGGGATAGGAAGAGGCGTTTTTGTATGAAGGTATATATATATATATTCATACATATATGGTTTTTCTTTCGAGAATCGAGAAGGGCAACGCTAGTTCGGAGCATTCCAGTATTCGAACAATTGTAAATTTAAATTCCAAATTTATCGTTGATTGGCATAAGATTACAATGCTTTATAACTTTGATTTCTTTGAATCCAGCATCAGGAGTTGTTTTTTTCCCCCTGCCATCGTTTTTACAATCGAGTCGCGATATTTATCTAAGCTTGCCACATCCACAGGAGGGGCTGTTATTTTGCCTTCGAGAGCCAAGATCTGGGGAATCTTACAGATGAAAAAACAATACTAAGATCACCTGCAATTCCTTCATACAGATTTCGAAGGTGTTCGGTTCCTGGTTTGAGTAGCGGTTCTCTCTAAAAGTTGTTTTGCTTGATTTTCGTGGTCATACTTAAGTTTTCAGAGAATCAAAGACTGAGCACCTCATCCATAACCCGACATTAACTCCTCGAACTTGAATGTTATTGAACACTAGGGAAGCTGTAGAAAATTCATGAGTTTTTTTAGACATTCCTCCTGAAACTCTTCACCAGTACGAGATTAGCTATTATGTCTTACCGTAAACTATGCATATCCCATTTTTAGCAAGTGCCGATGAAATCGTCAGAACACTACGTCCTCCCACACCATTCAAAGCCAATCGTGGTTTATTTTTGAGTTCGTTAATGAGCTTAAAATGGTTTTACTTCCTTGTAGAGATACGAAACTCTGACCTTCATCCCAAGAAGAGAAAATTCTTCTTCTGTAAATACGTGATCAGCTCCAATTCTCCATAGTTCCGTCTTCAGGCGTTCTACATCACGACGTGATCGGATGAGATTGATCGTTTTGATACCCCACGCTATGAATTATTTGATGTGCGAAAGTCTTAGATTTTTTAAGAACCTTTGCAAAGTTGAATAACATTCCGACCAACTCCAGAGTTTGCAGAATTTTGGATGACGTAATCACCCTGTACCAAATGTACAAATTCTTTGAGCATTATCCATGCTGTCGGTGGATTGATCATTAACGTTGCGGCCGTGATCTATATGTGCAAGTTCGCGAGATTTTCGATGCTTGTCTACCAGGTCTATTTTCTTGTTAATTTTGTAGAGTTCGCTTTCGTCCGCAATCACATAGTCGCACCAGAACGGAGTATAGTTTGAAAAAAGGGTAACGTGATCTCCAATAGTAAACTTTGAGTGAGCTGCCACCTATAGAAGATGAATGAAAAAGGAAAAAGATTGGTAAAAGACTTTGACGATTTCGCCAACTCCTTCAGAACCTCCAATAGCGGGTAGGTCCGCTTTAGTGGCATAACGGCCCTGAATTCTGTTAATGTCGAGTGGGTTTATGGGGGTGGCAAGCCAGTGTATAAGCACTTCTCCTGGTTTTAGTTTTGTTGATATTTCTTGCGTGGTCAAATTCAGAACCTTATAATGAAATGAATAAAATTTCGGATGAGAAGATTGGATAGCTTACCTCCCGTGGATCTCCATATTTGTTGTACACAAGTGCTCTTGAAGTAATCTCCATTGGAATAATGTTGAATTAATTGAAATTTACAAAAGAAGTGGAAAAATAAAAGTCATCAATACTTTTATTGTAATGACTGTGATGGGAGTAAGCGTACAGACTACATCGTAGTTACGGTGACACTATAATATGACATAATAGATATATATTGATAAACAACTTATGTACTTACGATAACCTTAACTGTTTCTCCAAGCATTTCATATTCTCAAATGTATAATTTTATCGATGAGTGTTGTTTTTTTTGTGTTGATCAACATTATCAATATCAGCTGATATCATTTGTTGTTTGTATTGTCTTGTAACTACTCCAACGTCATTCACTACATGCCTTTGAAATTTCAGCACTTGAATTTTGTACTTTTCCATGTTAGGTTGGCTTCCTATGAATTATTCAAATTTTACATTGTACATTCACAACCGTCATCGAACTCTTTATCATTATTCTGATATTCTTATAGCCTCTAAATCTGATTATCAATATCATTTGTCCCCTTTCTAATGATATCCAAATATTCTAATGTGTGTTATACAGAAAAAACACACCGTGCTCGTTGTCTTTATCCAAACTTTCGCTTTATCAATGTACCAATGCCACCAGGATAGAGCAGCATCTGATAAGCCAATTCGTTGTAACCGTTGGTGTTTCTGTACCTAACTTCGTTTTGATCTAAACCAACTGTTTATAAGATCTTTTACATCGATCGCAAAAGATGTGTGTATGACCTTATAAGTCCACTTTATCAAGCAATCTATGATACATTGTTATTTCGTGCATTTCTACTACTGAGCTTGACTGTTCAATTTCGGTATTCATTGATATGAGTGTATATTATCAATTTATGTTGAGAAAACCCGACCGGTAATTATTGCACTGATTTCAATTGTCGTTGAAGAACAATCTTATCAATCTTCTGTGAGTACTGAAAAACTTGTATTCAATCACATTTGGGTAATTTGAGTCAATCGTTCGCCATGCTTTTTTCAAAAAGAAGATTTTCATTCTGCTAGTTATGTGCTCATATGCAACCGCTCAACTCGTTTCAACTCTCAAAAAAGAAATATCACATTATTATTCATTTCTTATGTTTACTGCACGTGGATCGGTCGTACGTCATCATATGGTTAGTCGGTTCTTTATACTCTTCCTAGTTTTCTCTCATTAAATATTAAAATAACAATTATTTATTTGAATAACATCAATGATCTTATTCTATTTATTGTTATAAATCTTCTAATCGTAAATGCTGAAAGATATTTATGGATATTGGGCTTTCTTCCTTGTGGGAGGTCCAACCTTATGCTTACTCAATGTTCGTTCAGTGTTGTGTTTACTTTTATAATCGTATATGAAATAACCGTCCTGGAGGTCTAGTCTTGTAAGAATAGAACACCAGGTCATAAGATCTGCATATAACTCTTGATATGGCAAACGATCATACACGAGTGGCGGCCTCAAAGTTGATGATGCTCTGTTTTTTTTTCTTATTTCATCTACCCTTATCCAATTTCTTCCTATGTATTTTACCCTAATTCTACAATTCATACGTTTTATGCATTCCTTTCCGATTAGTCATCTTTTATTTGCAATTCTTCTTGTCACCGCAGACTAATGCTCTTGAGTTTTTCCAGAAAATGTTCACGCTGTTTTCAATAATTATAATTTTTAAAAACATTATCAAAACATTTCCTTCATACTCTTGCCGATTATTTCTAGCAAAAAAAGCTATTATAGACAAGAATGACCTCGTCGTCATCTAATTCAATACTCCTCATGGTGCGCATCTCGTTGTCGATGACGTCACGTTTTCGGCCATTGGCTCTACGCCAACATCCCATGGCCTCGCGCCAGGCTACGCCCACCAGGCGATAACTTTGTCCGTTTTACGACGTACGGTTTCATTTAAACTATTCATTTACAAAATAATTAATTGATTAGTTTTTTTTATCAGTCTCATTCATCCCTTGTTTTCATGTTTAACTCGTGATTTTACACGCCTGTTAGTGATTGTTGCTGCTTGTGTTATCAATCTGCTTATTCAGCATATTTAATCCTTTACTTTTATGGATTTATCCACTATAATCATATGTTTCTTTTGTTCCACAAGAACTATTCATTTTCTCAGAAATATACCCTGTGTGAACTTTTTTATCTGCGTCTCTTCCCCATATCACGGGTTATTTTACGACGTTATCTTTTTACGTTTATGTTTTTTACATCTTGATTACAATTACGCATTCGTTTCTTTGTGTTTTTTAATCTTAGTTCTTCATTTTAGTTGGTATACTTTTATCTATTTATTTATATAATTTAGTTAGCTCATCGCGCTAAGGTGATGTTTGGAATCACTGGTAGATAGCTACCGGTGTTTTTATTTCAAAACATTTGGTAAGTTATTACTGTTTTTTTTGTTTTTATATTTCTTATTTTTAAGCCTGGCTTACGTTTAAATGTTCCGTTTGTTTCCCAAACGACGCCGAACTGGCGAAGAAGATGCTGTTGAAGCAGAAGCAACTTCTAACAATAAGTCGAAAAGTCGCGGAAAACCCTCAATTACTATTTCTTTAATTGAAGAATTATGGTGAGCATTTTATTTATCAGTTCCTCCTTATATAATTGTTGTTTCAGTATATCTCGTGATGGTTTTTTATCCTCTGATAGTATGCGGATGGTGATATTAGAAAGGGATCCCAAAAGAGCGATATTTGATTCTTCCACTATTATTCCTCTTGGTGATCGACCAATAGAAGGCATGAAAGTTTCGTCTTGCAAAAAGTTCGAAGTAAGTTCTACCATCTTACACCTAATATACTATATTAATTCACAGCTCTTGCGTAAACAAAAAGATTTGAATACGTTAGGACAGCTCATTTGGGGTGCTGTTCCTACTCCGCAAGGTGCTGATGCTTTAAAGTTTCATCAACTGTAAGTTTTAACTAGCATAGTTTCGGACTCATTGACAATCTGTTTCAGAGAAGATGAGCAGTTATTGTTGAGCCGAGTTTTTGGTCTTCCGAAAATAGCGACGAAGTATGATTTTTGCGCGAAGTAATTTTGATATTACGATAATTCAGGGATCATCTTGGCATGAACGATTCTGTGGTGTCTTCCGATAATGAATTGAACTATGTAAGCACAGTACGCTCGCTCGATGGTGGTATTAAGAATAATATATGTTCTACTGCTCCTCCAGAGAAGTTTCAGCGGGTATGGTTCAAAATTTTTGATCCTCATGTATCATTTTACTAACAGGTCCGAAATGCCAGTTTGCAATTGGACTCTGACGATCTTGAAGATATTCGACCCTTCTCACCTCCGCATCGCTTATCCAGGAACAGACGAATAATAATGTCTCAGAAAACTTCGCTCTGCGATTCAGGTTGTTAAATGTTAACAGAAACAGTTAAAGTTTGGGATTTAGGCCAATCATTGAATTCTAATAAGGCTAGATCGCGAGTAAGTTCTTGTGGCTCACAAACAGAGGATGAGTTTGTTAGACAAGTTGCCATTGGAATTGTGTTTTCAAATTCTATACGAAATTTTTTATTCCAAGTAAGCCTAGTTGAGAGTAGAGATTGAATATCCTTCGTTCTAGCATATACCGATTGTGGAAACCGAAATGTCAAAGTTAGAAACAAGAGTAATTAATGCAGCTATGCATACACCTTCTTTTCTTTACAATGTACATAGAGTAAGTTGCTGCAATCTGTAAGACCTATATAAGTTATTTTTAAGGCTTGGGAGGAGTTTTGTAATTGTATATGCTTTCTTCATAATTCTCCTCGCTTACGAAACCCTGTATGGTTGAGTTTAGCAGAAAAAGATTTGAATGATTGTGTTGTTGCCTCTAAATTCTGCTCGCAACTCGCGAACCTGGTTCAGAAGTTGGACACGAAGCAGACTAAATTGTAAGATACTGTTTAGTTCTTTTTTTTTACAGTACACTTTTACAGCTTTCTTTCTAATCTTATTTCTACCGTTCTTATGCATCACATGTCATGGGTAGCTAGCGTTGCGTCTCCTCAGACGGCGCCATCTACACCTATTAACGGAAGAAATTTTTTGATTGGCTCAACAGAGAATCCTGAATCTTCCTGCTTTCCATACAATCCTCACATGGCTCAATATTTGGAGATCAGTGGAAGTGTTGGTCATTCTAATCGAAGCACAAAGGTTTTGGCGTTTCATTAGATGGATAAACGATTGTTTTTAGACTGTTGTGTGTGGAGAAGATTTGAATCAGCTAGCTGAAATTCTTCAAATTCTTTCTTATTTTATTCGTTGCTCTACAGTCCAACAGAGAGGTAATTTTACGTTTCATCAATAGATAGATAATCCATTGTTTAAAACTCACTAGCAGTTTCATTATTTGTTGAATTAACGACAAAGAGGTACAGAAATGTTGCATTCCAATTATTTACTATTTGCTGTGCACTTTTTAATTCTTTACGTACTCACGTCACGTCTACACTCAAGTTTGACGACGGATAGAGTGAGAAGTCATATGAGTTTCTTTGTGCAAAACACAGAATTGTTAACATAGGTACTTTGATCACGTGAGAATAGAAGAAAGTGGCAGATTGTTATATTGATAATCTCTAAGTACTTTCCTGTCTGGTTCTTTTGAGTGATAGAGAAGTGTTGTCTATTATCAATAAGTTAGTGAACACAATTGTTGATGGAGGAAAATAAGTGGAAAGCAAATTAAACAACCGGAAGCTGAAGCTTCATTTTTTTTGTTGCGAGCTTACATGGTATTGATAATGAGGAGCAAATTTGAAAGTGTTTGAAGTGGGTGGGCGGATATATTTGTTTTCGGAAGTGGGGTCAGCTGCAAACGATAGTGATGGACACTTTGTTAAATCACGATAGAAAATTAATAGTAGCTCAGCGGTTTTTCAAAAAAAACTATTGCAGATACAAATTTCAAAGAGACTGTGCCCTTGCCAATTGCTCAATCTTTCTCACCGGAAGCAGCATCACCAGATCTGCTGGGATCTCCACCTATTGGAAGCTTCAGGGAACTAGCTTTTAGCCCAGATAAATGTAAGATTTTGATCTAGCAATTACGAACAAACTTCTCAAGAATTTATATCAAGAGAGGAGTGACAAGTTTGTTTATAGTATTATTTATCGTTAGTTTTTCAGTAACAGAAACAGATGCGACATCTTCATGTTCTTTGGATTCTCTACCTGCTGATTGCATCAGCTGTCCTGTTCTTTCGACCCTGGATAATTTGGGTCGTTCACTCTTAGCTGGGCCATCCGTTCAGTACTCACCGCACTTTGTGCTATCGGGACTAGTAAGAGAAGGAAAGAACTATGATGATGCTTTTTCGAAGTAGGCAGAGTAATATGTTCGGAAGCTTAAGAAACGTTTTTTAGAATGCTGGACGAAGTTCGGTTAGAAGAATCTGCTGTTCATAGAGCAGCCGCAGCATCTCTCTCGTCATCTCAGAGCTCGTCATCTGTGTCAGATCCTCAACTCGCTGAGTCTGTGATTATATTGGCTGATACAGCAGAATGGTCTGTGAAGGTATGTTGATTTGCCTTAAGTTCTTCTCTTAAGAACAGTGTTAAGGTTCTCACTACGGATGGAATGGCTGAAGTAGTGTCACCGTCCGAGACGGTAGTATCGATGTTGGAACAGTTTGCTACTTTACAAGCGAATGGCTACGCCCCGAAGTTTTTGATCAACTTTGTTGAAGACATATTGTTCGAAATCTTAGGGAAGAGTTTGAGCTTGGTGGAAATGGTAAATGAAAAACGAAATTGAATATAGTTATATATATATTTATAGGTATCTGGTGGTCCTTCTGAATCTCCATCGATGTTCTCACCTGAACGTGTTCGTTCAGTAATTGGGTGTGATCATTCAGACCTTCGCTTGGTAGTTAACGTTGCCTCAGTTTACTATCCACCAGTTCTGCATTCTGTTTTATGACATTTTAGTACTGATGTAATCACAACTTCCATTGTACTAGTTCAAAATGGGTTTGATCTACTACGGGTTTAGAGTTTGTATTGCTCTATCAACGTATTGCCTTATTCCTTATTAGGTATCAGATTGTACATAGCCCTCCAGATTTCTATTCCGCCCCATGTCTTTTTGAAAAGTTCACTCCTTATTAATCTTTCATCAGAGACACTTTATCTCTCGAACATTTTATCCATGTAGGTAAATATTTCGCAAATATGCAAATAAGTTCTATATAAGAGAAACACGGTTCTTTCGGTCAACGATTTTTACGTCAACGATTAGTTTACCGTCTGTTATTAACCCTGGACATTTGAAATCATTGTTTTGTATATATTGTTTGGTTGCAGTTGCCTAATGGAGTTGTTCCAGAAGACGACGTTAACTGAATGAAGAACTTTTCTCTTGGTTGAATCGCTCTTTTCCAAATGTTCTCGTTCATTTCTCCTCGTTGTCTTTCCACACATTTCTCTGGCTTTTCTGGACATCAGAAAGACCTCGTTTTCTGTTAATATTTTTTGGAGAGTTTTGTATTTTCTGTAACTCTACCTCGTCGTTCTCGATACGTCTTTAACCGCTTATCCGTCCGCCCAAATCCTTTCCATAATGACCTTTCAGAATCATGTCCACTTTCTAAAATCAAATTTGCTCTGAATAGTTCAGTCTCTATTTTTTGTTCATATTGGCACAATGTGAATTGCTTTGCTCAAAATAAGTGTTCAGCTGCTTTCTTTTTCTAGTAGCAGTAGAAGGATTGATAGTAATACTGATAGTACTGTAAACAGTAGTCCTAGTATTTGTAATAGTAATATTAATTTTGTTGAACATCACCTCAATTAGTTTTTGTTGTTTTCCTGTTTCTGTTACAGTTCAAGAGGTGATGGCTAACATCATATATTTACGATTAATAATTCATTGTTTTATTTTGCTAACTTCGCAAACTGTGACAATTCTACTTCTGTACTAGAGCATGAATCTGTTGAATACTTTCCCATTTTTTGTTAATTTTCAAGTTTTTTTCCTGTCTCGAAGGATGAACTAAATTGTTTTGAAGAGCAGTCATGTAGTTATAACAATACTTGTCAGCTCAATAATTAATAAATCGGAAAAATTCCTTTTTTCAATTTCTTCCTTTCCGTTTTTTCCTGATCCAAGGTGTAATAACATAGCAAATTTGAGAAAAAACATTCATTTTAAATGAACAGATTTGTGTCAAGTTTCTCAAGATAAATTGTACAGCAATTGGACAGCTGAAAAGGCTACAGAGCCTGATATCAGCTTAATGAGTCGGATAGCAAGAAGTTTGAGTGGGAGAGGGACATCGGAGAACTCTTCGTTTACCTATTTTACATCCGGAAGCAATGTCTTCCTCGTTCTGGTTTTTAGTCAATCACTTCTCGCCTTTTTCACCGAAAACGGACAACTTTCGAACTAGTCATAGTAGGATACATTATTGATTGATGAATAAGTAGGAGCGGAGGGGTAGGCAAACCATAAGATTGGAAAATAATACATGTCATGAGCTTTATTTAAGCGAAGTTCACGCAGTATGAGTCATCGTGATTGTTATACATGACAGAGTGGCTATCAAAATCATTGGATTTCAAAATCGCTCCGAACGAAACTGGTTTTCTGTTTTGTGTTGAGTATGGAAAAATAGCGATGCCCCCTTTGCTACTCCACCCGCCTTCGTTGTCATCGCCAACAAAAGGTTGGAAATTTTTCGTCTTTGGTTATTTCCTCAGCTATGAATAACTACAACAACCAGGTTTGTATGAAGTTCAGGTAAATGTTTATTTCCTTCTTTTTAGCCTCCTCAAAACCCAGGATTCTATAACCAGCAGCCCGGTTATTATCCACCACCACAGGGCTATCCTCAGGGATCGTACCAACCTCAACCTCAAGTCATGTAAGCAGTTTAAACTTTTCCAAGATTATTCTGATATATTCCAGATACCAACCACAGCCTCCTCCACAACAGCAAAATGATCGGTGTTGCCTATACGTACTCCTAGGATTGTGTTGTGGATGTTGTGTGGGAGAAGTGTGTTGTGATTAAATATGCTGAGGATTTCCTCATTCTAATAGTTTGATTATTAACACCAACGGATGTATACATATATGTATGTTTTTTCATCTAATGAAGTATTTTGATGATTGCACTGTTGAGTACCAAACGAATTTTAGTTTTGAGTTCTAGATTTCTTCGTTCCCAGTATATCATTCATATTGGTTGTTCCAAGAAAAACGTCACACCTGAGAGATAATCTTTTCTAAAACGTCATCGTATTCAGCACATATGACGTATGAGACGCCCTCATTCATTTCTATGAATGTTTTTTGTACTCCCTTCTTTTCATATTATTTTATATTTACCGCGTCAAACGAAATTAAATTTGTAAGTAAACAAAGAACGTCTGACAAAAATAAGATGAGCCACCAATTGTCAATAACTTTTCTATTACATCAATTTCTTTTATTGAATAGACTGTTCGCTACACTTTTCAGCCAGATTGAAGACGAAACGTTGTTTTAGTTTAAAATGAAACAGTACTTACTCGAACAAGTTAAGCTATAAAAAATATATGGTGAGTCACACTGCGCTGGTGAACATATTGGAATGAGTATTGGAATGAGTCATCGTGTTCTAGTTAATGAATGTTTGAAAAAAGACGAGAGTAAAAGAAGGGGAGCAAATCATTTCCAATGTTAGTCCAAAGTTTAGAGTTAGAGAAAAGAAGCATGATTCTGTGAATTGAATTTCGATTACCATTTTCAGTCAGCTGCCTCTGACGAGACCACGATTTCAAAGTACCAACTTATTTATATGAACATGGTCATAAAATGAACATAGTATTGATTGAATCTGGGAATGGACACTTGGACTATCAATCGGCGAAACCATCGTGTAAGAGATCAACTGTCTCGTATATTTCCCTTTTCAAGGAATTACCGAGCCTCGAACTCTCTCATATTAGTTTGCAACAACTTCTCACAACTTTTATAATGATACATCATTCTTCCAGTCCTGTTGTGTGCGTGTGTAAGTATGTAAATGGGAGGGGTCTTCAATAGTTCAACGGTTTGTTTGTAACCTTTCATGTAGCTTAGACTATTCAAAACATTTCGGTATTTGACAGCAAATGCTATCCTCATCTTCTTCTCTCATAGCTCGTCTCTGCAAAATGCTTAGTTCCTATTTTCTGGTGAAGCTAATCATTCGCATGCTTCGGACAAGAACTGTTGTCTAACTGTAGATCTAAGCAGTTGAATCTTAAGCTAGCTTCCGTGCATAACTGCTTGTGCAATACAGTAAACGAAAATCAAGAACTGCTTTGACGTAGTCGATATGATTTAATCTAGATTTTTGTCATTTTCTGTGATATATAGCAATAACCGAGATGGAACAGTATTGCCGCAACTTTCTTTGTTGTTAATTTTTGAATTATCGATATATTCAAGTTAGCAGAGGAAGTTGAGCCTTTGTAATCGTTTAAGGTGTGGAATCAATGCGTGGTCATAAAAAAATAAATGCTTCTGCACAACTCAATTTGAATATAATAAAATTGAATGAGATTTACTGCTTGGGCTCAAACTTACCATATTAGTGGTAAAAAAAATTAATTTCGCGGAGAAAACTGTTCACTACATGTGATACATCCGAAATCAAATGATGTTAACCACCGCTCAGCGCACAGTGATCTTGAAAAATGAAAAGCGCATGAACCTATCATAAGGTTATTGTCTTGCTTTTAATCCTCATTAACTCAAACCATCCTAAGCTCCAGAACTATTCCTTTGGTTTGATGACAGAGAGCTATGACAGTAGTCAACTTCCCTTTCCTCTAGATTCTCCTCTAGAAGTATTATCTATTGATTAGAAGTTTTCTGTCCTTCTATTTCCGCCGTTTGTAGTTTGATTGAGTTCTCTGGAGGTTAAACCACTCGTTGTTTTTCTTTTACTTTCATCGGTGTCGATTAGTTGTCTTATCCTTATACTTGATTATAATCGTTTCTCACTTGAAGTTTTCATTTCTTCGCATACTTTGAAACTTCACTGCTT